TCCAACGTACAATTCATTATGCCGAAGATTAACTGGTAAAGGAAATAAGAAATATATACAGTAACCTCAAAATCGAGGTCAAGTTAAAAGATTGTAAATTTATGTCCTTTAATCCAGACAAAACAGAAATAATGATTTTTTCAAATAATGACGCTCCAGATCTAAAATTCTGCTTAAATAACAAAGAAATTCCTATTACAAAATGTCACAAACACCTTGGGGTAACGTTTTGCTCTGATGCTCGGTGGAAAAGCCATATAGACAATTTGATTATTAGTGTAACGAAACATTTAAATATACTGAGAAAAATCAAGTATCAACTTTGTAGGAAAAACTTAGAAAAACTCTATATAGTATTTATAAGACCAATTTTTGAATATGCAACTGAGGTTTGGGATAATTGTGGGATAGGATATGCTAATAAACTTGAAAGTCTGCAGCTAGAAGCTGCTAGAATAGTTACTGGTTTGCCTATATTTACAAAATCTGAAAATCTGTATGAGGAAGTTGGGTGGGAAACTTTAGCTGACAGGAGGAAAAGACGAAAATTACAAATGTTTTATAACATTCAATACAAACATGCTCCGGATTATCTATGTAATCTAGTTCCACCCAGTGTACAGAGCACAACTGTATATCCCTTGCGAAATGGCAATGATATTATTGTTCCCTTTTGTAGATTATCCCTTACTAAAGAATCTTTTATACCATCAACTATTAGACTATGGAATCATACCGATTTGTCCCTTCGAAAATCAGACTCTATCTCAAAATTTAAAATCCAATTAAAAAGGCTAAATACTATAAATAAAGATGTACCGAAGCACTATTCATATGGACCGAGGAAACTAAATATGATTCTAACACAATTCAGATGCTATTCATCTTTCTTGAACTATGACTTGTTTAGAGTCAATATAATTTCTGACCCATCTTGTTTTTGTAAATACAACATTGAGACTGTACACCATTTCCTTTTCGACTGTTCTTTATATACACACCAGAGAGAAATTTTGATGAACAATCTAAGATGGCTCCCTGATGACCTTATATCAAATGTTAAGTTACTAACATCTGGTAATCCAAACCTTTCGTATGAACAAAACGTCAATATATTTAAACATGTATTCGAGTTTATTAAAAGGTCTGAGAGATTTCTTGTTATATGATACTAATAGTGTATTTGCGGTACATTCACGTCATCATCCTCATCATCATTACCAATTTTTCCGTTATTATTGTTTTATCTTTTTTTTTCAATAGATAGACTCTTATAGTATTGTATATTCTGAATTATTGCATGCTCACATTAATATTGTATTGTAATTTATTGTTATTCGGAGCGGACTTCATAAGTATGGTTTACTTGTGTCCAATCCATTTTACTTTGAGTAAATAAAATATGTTTAAACTAATTGTAAATTTAACTGATATGACACGTTTTTCTTCAATATACGAAACATGCGTTACGGGCGCTATAAAGAGATCCACAATTTTAGTAGGAAAATAAATATTTTTTTTGAAAGTATCAAATACGAACGGGGTGTATACAGAACTAGAAATATGGTGAGTATTTGTATATGTTGAAAGTTAATATTGCATGTATAATTTCCATAAAACCCATATTAAACTTTCAGATAGATGAAAGATTCGATGTGACAAAGAAAGCAATAAATTAAGAGCTGCGCCATGAGCGCACGATACGCCCGTTGCTTTTTCAAAGAATAATGTTCCATAACTTTTAAATGTTTTATCAGAAATTTATGAAAAAAAAAAGAAAACTTAAAGGAGGTAATTTAATAGAAATAAACCAAAGTTTCACGAAAATTGCATATAGCACTTCTGTTTTGTTGTCCGAGAACTGGAAAATCCCCCTTTTTTAATGAATAAAACCCCATAAAATGGAAGCGTAAAATCTAAAATTTATATAAATCGAAAGGGAACTCACGTCAATAGATTTAAACAATTCACCATAGTTTCATGAAAACTGCTCAAAACACTTTTGAGTTATTGTCCGAAAACTGGAAAATCCCCCTTTTAAATGAATAAAACTCGATTACTCGGAAAGTAAAAATCGAAAATTTATGAAAATCGAAAAGGAGCTCACGTCAATAGATATAAAAAAAAATCACCAAACTGAGTTTCATGCAAATTGGTTAAAGCGTTTTTGCGTTATTGTTCGACATGTCGACGACAGACGGACAGACGGACAACGCTACACCATAATACATCCCGTAAACGGTTTTGTGTAATCTACAGTCTACAGTTATAATGAAGAAAAAACGAAACGAAAAAGTGATCCATGCCAGTAGCGGATTTAGCGGGGGTGGGGTGGGGTGCGCAGGGGGCACGTGCCCTCCCCCAGTCATGGTCACCAAAAAATGTTCAAACATAAATTTATTGCTACTGAATCTTCTTATCTAGATCGGAGATTAAGTTACAGCTTGATTTGACTTCCTCAACTGGCCGTTAATTAACCCCAGCTTCAACATGCGTGATTTATAATAACTTATCAATGGGTGAGTAAATAATGACACCTATGTGTAATGCCTATATCCAAAAGCATTTATGTAAACTACATGTACATGCTGCTTGAAATACGAATATGTCTATTGGTTTCTAATACAATATTACAGGATTAAGCAGTGGGATTAAGTTTGATCATGGAAGTAAAAGGAATACTTCCATGGTTTGATTAACAAATGAAATCTTCCAACGAATCGGTCTTTAAAGAATAGGTACACATAGATGTTTAGTGTCAATAATGTTGGTATCCGTATGAGATATGCCTTTATTACCAAACACTCACATTGTATACGGTTTCTGGGGAATATATCTTTCTCGGACTTTATTAAACAACAAGATACATTTTTCATTAACATACAGAAACATTTATTTTTTAAAACTGAATGTCGTGTTTCTTTTCCCCTTATTTTAAATGGAAACCAACAATTTGTTTTAATAAAAATACCTTCCCCCTCCACAAAATATGAATGATCAGTGCCTAATACTAATCATTTATAAAATGCTACTTTTATAGACCTACTTTATATCATAATACAGTAATATAAGTATGTTTTACTTGTATCAATTACCACTGATGTATGAGGGTATAAAAGGGTTACCGTGAATGAGGGTATAAATGGGGTTCACAGATTAGAATAATGCTCAAAAAGTAAAGATTGTAGGAGAAGAAAAATGGGCGCCAAATATATAGAGAATGATTGGCAGATCAAAGAGTAGAAAGAAAACCACTTTCCCCACACACACCATCACCACTCACTCGCATACATACATACATGTCTTAACAAATATTTAATTTTGGTTTCATGGTGCCCCCCCCCTTTCCCCAGATATCGAGGTTCTGGATCCGCCCCTGCATGCCCATAGCGTCTGTGATAATCACTTTGCATTCATCATTCAGCAACGACGAAATTTTACAATATCATTGTAATTAATGAACAAATGTGTGGCAATAAAGAAGACATTCGAATATTTGATGTAAAGAAAAAGTTCCGTATCATTGTCGGAAAACTGACATAATCAAATATAGATTTCCTAACTATAGAAAAAATGTGAGACTCTTACCAATACTTTCACAGATTTCGATAATTTTACACACAACAAGATACATGTATCAAATACAAGCTAGGCCAAAGGTTTAAGAGTGTTTTGTTTGTTTGGAGAACACCAGTCGTTTACATTTGTTTTAGATATACAAAGGTAATTTTACCAACCATAACATCATGAATAAAACAGAAACACCATCAAAATATTAGAGAGAGAAAAAAAATCTATTTTTTCTATGAGTACATGTATGTCAAAATCGTTTTGTTTGATATTCGTTTTCTGCTTTTAATAAACAAATACTTACTTATTCTTAAATTCACATCTTAAAGGAACCTCCAGTGGGTACACCTGTTCAGCCGATTGTCACTAATCTAATGTTACATATATTTTGGTATTCATTTAGAATTCATGCTAATGCTCATGTTTATTTCATTTTATTCTTGCATGTTTTGTTTCATGCATGTTTTCATATTTCGTTGACCCAAAGGGTGACTGGAAATTAGAAATATGGTCACTACTGGTCTTCTTCCGAACGGCAGTAAAACCTTGCTAAAATGGGGCGTTCATTTGGTATTTTTGCTATTTTACATTTGGCTGTGCGGGATGTATAAATACACAACCAGGTTAAAATGTGGACGTTTAATTTCTTGCCTCGTGGAGAAAGATGGCCACGCTCTCTGCACGTTCAGAACCCTTGTAACAACTCTATTAGGAGTTCGATGGTGGCCTGCAGCAATGCAAAATTTCTGTCCTTAACCCTTATACCCTCATTTTCCAGTGACAGTCTAAATTACCCCGAACTTCATCCCGCAATACCAATTGTATTTATTGTTAATTTGTTCTCGTCTTGAACATGCGTGAAATATTTACCACTGGACGTTAAGCAAATAACAATCAATCAATTAATCAATCCTATTTCGTTGACTTGACCTTGCATGACCTGAAGTTTGTTTACATATGTCTACTAGCATTTCTATGCATGAATAAGTTTGTATGCTGTAACCCGAAACGTTATGATTTAAATGGTATACTACTGAACCGGTATACTAACATACTTAATCATTTCTCTTGATTGATTTATAATTGGATGCTCATCGCCGTTTAGGAGTATAAATCCAGGGGCGAATCCAGCCATTTTTAAAATGGAGGGGGGTTCCAACTATATGTCCCCAATCAAAAGCATTGAATGATCGTCAAAAAGGGGGGTTCCAACCCCCGGAACACTCCCACACCCTCCCCCTTTTTGGATCCGCCACTGAAATCAAGGGCTGCTGATTTGCAGAATAGAATGTATCACTCAGTATTAGATAATCCCATATCTGTATACCCCAAAATCTATTTGTCCCAAAGGTATGGTATAATTCTTTGACACGATCTTAAATAATGAACGTTTCTTTGGTTGTTGAGTATAGCTCTATTTATAGATAATTATTTTATACATGTACACACTTCATTATTATATAGGACAACATACAAGCTATGAAGAATCAACGATCTAATTGGAGAGGATGTAAGGTATTATATTTTGTTTAAAACCTGTTAAATTTAAGGAGGTCCATTGGATTTAATGTTATCGTACACCTATGTTTCAAGGAAGTAAGCTAATTTTATTTTAAACAAGCATTATAAACTGTTTATTAACGGACCATTGATAAAGCGAGACAATATACCAGTCGGGGTAACAATGGACTTTGGCAGGTGAAAGATTGTTCACTCGATTGAATAATCTATAAATTACTTGTTTTCAGATAATTTACAACATACATTTTTTATAAACATTGAATAACATACAAATACGAGACATTCCTGTATAATATGGTGTATTTCGATATGCATGATGTATTAGATTTGAGTGATAGACTGTGTAAAACTAGGCTTTAAAGAATACTGTCTAAATTACAATATTAGGTCAATGTCATGTCAGAAAAATATAAACTTTTTCGTAAGATGCTGAGAAACTGGAGAAGAGCGAGGTTTTACCAAGGCCTTCCCCAGTTTTGTGCGGAATAAAATAAAGTTTACATTTTTCTGACATTAACTAAATATTGTTTTTATACTGCAACTTAAATTAAAAGATTGAAAGCTATTTAAATTTTAACACAATTATAAACTTGTCTACATCCCTAAATGAACCCCTGATTGTGGAAAAAGTGATCCGAGATGAAATTGACATTGTGAGTGAATATATTGCCGTTTTACGTTCTGTGGTAGCTATTACACGCAGACAGACATGTAATCTAACGTGGATACATTAGTCTGACCGATACCCCAAGGATTGACTGAGATATAGAAATATGGTCATCCCTGGACTTTCTTTGTTAGATGAGAATTTTACCAAAGTGGTAGATATAGAATAGTAAATGCTCACCATGAGACCACCAAAGTGGTAGATATAGAATAGTAAACGTTTACCATGAGACCACGTAAGTGTTAGATAACGTACTACTATTTTAAGAGTTTATCCCTTAAACCAATAATGCTATATTTTACAATGATATTCCAATATTGATTAATCTGTACATGTATGAGGGTCTGGATGGGTTTTTTATCCTGCAATCGGCCTTTCTACTACACTAATACAGGGGTACTAGCCATGACATTTGCAGGCTTATGGGGGTACCTTGTCTAAAAATTTGCTTTTTTTATATTTATCTACAACATACTGAAACAAAACACTCTGTCGTCTTATTATGACTTATTTGTTGTAATAACAATGAAGCGAGTCTTTTTGAATATCGGCATAATGAGACTATTCAATGACGACTTTTTTATTTTTGAAGGTAATAATCTATAAAATACAAAATTATTGTATTTTATTGGCGATTAGTAATCTCCCAAAGCGTATTTGAATACAAATTTCAAATGAATTAAATTTACTACTATACAAACAGTTCTTAGCTCTCTTTTAGAAAATGTAATTTAAACTTGTTGTAATGAAGTTAGTATCAAATTTGTCAAAGACAGCTTTTAGAATTATTTTTTTTGATTTGTCTTTTAACTTAGATTTATGATGCATGTATCTACACCACATAGCATACGAAGCGTTACAGTTTATAAGAAGTTGCTCTCATGTATGCATTTGATACGGTGCATTTATTATGGATATATTTTAGACTCCATTTATGAAAATCTATAGAGCAAATAATTTAGATTTTTTTTATCAATTATGTATGTAGATTCAAATATTTTTCACTTCAAACGATAACTTAAAATTTCTTCAGATTTATAGTTCAGTACCAGCAAAAAAAAAGAAGCCAAGGTAAAGTGTTTATCTCTTCTTCACAAATACTTAATATTCAAATGAATCTCGAGGAAGTTAAAGGAAACATCCGAAAACAGTTATAAATATATATGTAAATGATTGATTTACTTTCAATTTATATATTAGTTTTACAGGGCTTCAACTTATGAAGTCAGAGGCGGATTTTTATATAGATTTCTTTTCTTTTCTTTTTTATTAAGTTTTGGGGTGCTGGGCCGCAGCTACATATATGGTATATCATAAAGTTTTGCCACTCCCAACGTTGTCATAGTACCCCACCCTTTTCAAAATCTTTGAACTGCAACTAGAAGTTAATTACTAATATAAATTGAATTTACGATGCAAACCTATTTTACGACATCTTTGGACTTTTATGATAAATACTGTGTCTGGTCTCTTTACTTATCTATGGAGTAACTGTACATCGCATATATTCACGTCAATCGTTTTATACCAACCGACTGTCCCTTGTATAGATAAATGCATTTTGTTTCGTTAAATCCATTTCAGAAGCTTGTTTTCTTATGTAAACTACAATATTTTACAGTTCGTGACAAATTTATGTAAACAAGAGCGTTTAAAATAATAAATGATGGGAGGGGGCTATTAAGTGGCTATGACTTTAAGATAAGAAGATGTGGTATGATTGCCAATGAAAAAAATCTCCACCAGAAACCAAATGACGTAAAAGTTAACAACTATAGGTCACCGTACGGCCTTCAACTGAAAAAAGGACCCCAAATTGTTATCAATTTACGATTAGTTTGCTTGTTTTAGCTAAAAGCTTATATAAATTTCATGTGCAATGGTAAAAAACATCCAAAACATAGATTTAGAATAGAAATACGAAAGGAGAAGGTCCGATAAGGGCTAATTTCGGCCTAAAATTCAGAGTACATTGTACATCTGATAAAAGATTTTTGACATTTTTTAAACACTCTAGTGTCAACTTAAGTCGATTCAATTAGTCTATGTTAAAGATTTTAACCAATTTGGTCATTAAAGACGCTCAAATTCTAGCTTAAATATGAAAAAATCTATCAAATATGCCATAAAACGTCACTTTTCAGATGGCTTTTGTCTAAAATGGAAGTGGCCACATTCGTGTTCAGTCTCAACATTTATATATGTTATGTATTATCATTAAATACAACATATATTTAAATATTAAGACTGAACACAAGTGCGGTCACTTCCATTTTAGACAAAAACTGTCTTAAAATTAACACAAATTGTGACGATTTCAGTATTGTTGCATGAAAAAAGGATGCTAGTACCATGATGCATGTCCATTGTATTGTCAAAAACAACCCATATTTATGTAACACAAGTATTCTACTTTCCAATAAATAGCTACAAGTGACATTTTTAACTACTTTGTAAAATCGCTATATTATGGGGCCAAAAAGGGGTCTTACCGGACCTACCCCTTTACATAACGTTTATATCTAATAGTTAACGGCATTTTTCTAACTATGACGTTCTACCCCCATGCATAAGCCTGGAAATGTCATGGCGGGTCACATATGTGTTTAATTCACTAGACAATTGTAATTCATTTCTTCATTCATTTATTTTAAGGACTGGATTGATTTCGGAACACCTCTAACTACAACGAGTGATGAAGCTTGTAAGTTGTACGATGCGGTATTGACACAGGTTAGTACAACGAGTGATGAAGCTTGTAATTTGTACGATGCGGTATTGACACAGGTTAGTACAACGAGTGATGAAGCTTGTAAGTTGTACGATGCGGTATTGACACAGGTTAGTACAACGAGTGATGAAGCTTGTAAGTTGTACGATGCGGTATTGACACAGGTTAGTACAACGAGTGATGAAGCTTGTAAGTTGTACGATGCGGTATTGACACAGGTTAGTACAACGAGTGATGAAGCTTGTAAGTTGTACGATGCGGTATTGACACAGGTTAGTACAACGAGTGATGAAGCTTGTAAGTTGTACGATGCGGTATTGACACAGGTTAGTACAACGAGTGATGAAGCTTGTAAGTTGTACGATGCAGTATTGACACAGGTTAGTACAACGAGTGATGAAGCTTGTAAGTTGTACGATGCGGTATTGACACAGGTTAGTATTTATTTTATTGATACATTGATGCGTTGTACTGAAGACAGTTATAATAAGAAATTAACATGTTTATTCCTGGGCCGACTAAGGACACGAAAGTTAACACATGAAAACGACACCAATAGTTCTACAGAGTTATATAGAATTAAAAAGTCAAAAGCCTGCATTGAAGGTCCAAAGTCATGTGATAGTAGCTATTTCGTACACTCATGATATGTACATGTATACCCACACAATTTAGTGCATAGAAGTTTTTTAATGTTCGTTTTTTTTATGTTTTTTTTTTTGTTTTTTTATAATTTAATTTTGGATGTAACACGTCTTCTATTTGGCTGAAAGTTTATCAGATCATAGAGATAAATATGTCGTGTGGCCGTGACGTCACAACGTTATTTTCGTGATTTACTCCTTAAAAACGGAATTTAGAATCAAATTATAAAGAATGACTGTAATATTTTTTTATGTCTATTCGAAATAACGTCAAAAATGTGGGGCACACTTTTAAATAACTCGCTACGCGGGTTATTCAGTGTGCACCACATTTTTGATGTTATTTCTTCACTCGCACCTTTGAAGAGTTTGACCCAATAATCCTTTTCATTTGTATATATGCACCAATAAGAGGATGAAAAATTGAAATCCTTTGCGAAAAACACAATTTTACTTCGGGGTGCGAGACCCATTTACCACTCTACCAACTTATCTGAAAGTGTATATAAAAGTGTTCATATAAGATCTATTCATTGATTACGTTAAAAGTTCGCACCGTTTTACTTCCCTTTATATTACAAGATTTTAAAGTCTTAAACATTTCTTGATGTGTTGGATTGCTGTCTTATTGACGTATATAATTCACATATTCTTTTAGTCAATAAAATGTCAGAATCGATCGCAATTGTCATCTTTTAATTAAATGCTTCAGTAAAAAACACTCAGAAACTATATCAGATAAACATGATTCTCCGAAAGTTTTAAAGGACTAACTATAAATGCCTTGAACCCCATGGACCATGGGTTGAATGGGGATAGACATACAGTCATTCCTGTACTTCTCCCGTCAGACAGTAAACCCTTGCTAAAGTGGGACGTCTATGTGACTGTATAGGATGTACACACCATTATTTTCTATTCTTTATAATTTTTTGGGGCTCATTTGTCTTTTCATTATTTTTTTGTTTTTGGCCATTATCCTCTATTCTGTAAACCCCATCCAGACTCTAATATATGAACAATTTTATTATTATTTATATACTATGTTTTTAGTATGTTGGCTGGTACGATGAGAGCTCTGTGGGTGGTATTGAGGTCAGTTTAGATAAGATGATGGCAGCTGATCCTAACTTTGGTAATCATTAATTTGTATATATATATTTTTTTTATTTGTTACTAGTTGACCATATTGATATTGATAGATATATAAAAAGAAATGAATAATTGGTATACTTTACACATGAACTTTAAAACATACATAAAATAATCAATCCCTAGCCATATAATTCAGCTTATGAGACACATACATATCATGAAACATATACATGTTCTTAAGATCCAAATGTAAAACTAATAATTACATTACATGTATGTTTCACGAGAATCCGTATTGGCTAACAACAATCACGCGTCATTCAAAAGTTAACCTTCATATCAAAATGAAATGTTACATTCGTAATGATACGTGCTTCCACAAGAAAGTGCACAGGTATATAAAAGAAAAACTTGATAACATTTTTTTTCATGGTCTTAGAGTAAAAATGTAATCATAAGGAATGTATGCCTCTTTTAGTAATTTTATAGGGTTGTAAAGCTGCACAACTGTCCAAACCACCAACATCACACCCCCCCTAAAAAAACACAAAAAAACAACAACAACAACAACAACAAAAAAACAAACAAACAAAAATCACACACAATCAATGACAAACAACATTGAACAACAAACGGTCCAGTATAGTTTGACTTAGGTCTTTGATCAGTTTTAATACTGTCTCACTATGGGACGGGGGTAAAACCAGTTTTTTGTACACACTCTAATCCATCGGCAGAGGAACAATAGTTCGTAGTAAAACCTTAACGAAAGTTTACTCAGTTTGTATCAAAGCTTTAATTTCCCGTTTGATGTTCAAGTTTTATATCGTTCTGAACTGCTTCCTGTTGGACGTTATTCTCCCAAATCAGAATACCTACGATTTGAACTTTGGTAACTAATAAATTATTTGTAACCCAAATTATTTAATTGCTGGATTAACTCTACGGAGAACTTCGTGTCATCGTATTACAATCCCACTAAAATCACAAGTCTGTAGCCTGTAATTAAGCGGTTGTCGTTGGTCGTTGTTTATCATATTTGTTTCTCGTTTATCGTCATGTACTTCAGGCCGCTAGTTTTCTCATTTGAACTGTTTTACATTTGGTCGTTTCGAGACCTTTTATATCTTAATATACGGTATGGGTTTTGATCATAGTTGAAGGCCCTACGGTGACGTATAGTTGCTTACATCTACGTCATTTTGTCTCTGGTGGATAGTTCAATCATACCACATCTTCTTATTTTAACAAGAAAGGGAAAAAGAACAGCCTATATACATACGATATTGCAGCTGCGTACCAGTTTCATAAAAGAGAGATTGATAAAATATTTGTGTTATATTTTTAAATGTCTAATGAAGACTGCTTTTTTCAGTAATGGGTCATGTGATTAAGAACGGATTAGATTTACTCGGAACTGGTAGAACAATCGAATTGGACCCAGATTTCAAAAAAGACATATACAGTTTGGGAAAAATTGCTGAACAACAGAAAGTTTCTTCCAGGGAACGAAAACATGTATCTGCAGTGAAATTATGGGCAGAAGGGTTTGTTTAAATATTAAATGAAAATATTTAAGAAACACATTATAACTCATTAACAATTACACAACATTGACATATATGTGTTGATCCACATGTGGCATGGCACCCGTCGTGTTGCTTATGTTATTACAAATCAGGTAAATAGTCTAATTCGGTAAGTCACATTCGTGAAAAGGGAGGGTATTGTAGTTACGACATAAGGAACATATCCGATATCATCTGTGAAACGGTTATTCCATAACGGTCAACCAACTCGTGATGGCGTCCGTAAAATTTACGAAGGCATGACTTCAACTTCACCATTTGGAACCATTTACAACATGTACATCAGCTTTGAAAACTTTAAGTTGATTCATTGCATTATTTACTGTTTTTTCCTGTTTTGTTTTCGTAAGGTGTTTTTTTAATTATGAAATTATTTTAGTGATTTTCACAAATAAGACATGTGTAAGTATTCAGTAAACATATTGATGTTTATTCTAAATATAACCAATTTTTATCGATTTTACCATCATACCTAACTAATAATCTTGTTTATGAACGAAAGCACCAAATAATTTCAGTCTGTTTAACGCGTATTAAAGTCTTTATTCCCTGACAATCTCAGCAAATATACAATGAGTTTGCTCATTGTGGAAACTTTATCGAACAATTTAGTTTTTTTAATGAGTACCATTAAAACGTTTAATCCCAGGGGCGTAGCTGCCGTTAGTCACTTTAGGCACGTGCCTACACATAATTTTTCACAAATATTTTTTTTATTAAGAAAAATAATAAACAATGTTATCTGTAGATGCATGTAAAGTCGTCAAAACTCTTTAACTATCGAATGTCATTTGTACACTAGTGTATCATCCTTAGTGAATCAGTGGAGTATTGGAACTGTATGGCATTATATCCCACCTTATATAGAAACTAAAAACTAGAACTTTAATTGGTTCAGATCATTTCACTTCTATCAACAAATACCTGAATGAACCTCAAATTAGATAAACGATTTTTTTTTAATTAGTTGTTGTTGGCCCAAGTTCAATCCGATGTCTAGTGTAGAGAGGATGCCACGCTCTCTGCACGTTAAGAAACTTGCAACAACTCTTTGAGGGGTTCGTAGGTCGTCTACTGAAAGGCAAATTTCTGTTCTTATCCAATAAACCCTCATTTTCCAATTAATGGCATTTCCAAATTTCTAGACCTTCATCCTGGACGACCCCTATTTGTTTTAGTCCTGAACATGCATGAACTATTTGCCACTAGACGTTTAGCAATCAATCAACCAATCATCTAGCTTTCAGTAACTTCGAGTACTCTCAGATCTACGTGTAATGAACATAATTATTCAAATTCCTAAGCAGGTGGGGATTTTACAGTACAGGATATAAAAAAATATAAATTTCTTGAATTTTGTTAAATAGTATGAACAGATCAGAACTTCTGCATGACGTATCGAGTGTGTGTGTGTGTGTGTTTGTGTGGCCGGGGGAGGGTGAAGGTTTAAGAATTAAAAGATGTATGGTCGATGCGTAGTCCTAAAGTTAGTATTATTATGTAGTAGTCTCATGCAGTGTTTACGTGCCTATTTTTTTAATGTAGGATCGTCAATATGTACTATCAATTGACGTATATATCAATTATACTCAATTAGAAACAGGTTGTGCTGCTTAATAAAGGGCTACGCTGATCCACGCTGGGCAATGCATATTGGAAATATTGATTTTCTTTTATATTTCCGATTGTACTGCCGGTAAATTCATCAGTCAGATGAAATTGTAGAATTATGTTTATTTTTTCGACATTTTTTTCATGTCTATTATCATGATAAAATGACCAAAAATAAAAATTTTGCAACTAAAATGCTGAAAACCGTTTTCCGTCTCTGCCCTTGACCTGCTGGGGGCCTTAGGCGGCCCCCAGACCCCCGGCCGCAATTTGTGACTACAATTTATTGGATACCTAGCTACGCCCCTGAATCCCGCTGCAAATGTTTGCACCTGTCCTAAGTGAGGAATCTGATGTACAGTAGTTGTCGTCTGTTTATGTAATTCATACGTGTTTCTCGTTTCTCGTTTTTATATAGATTAGACCGTTGGTTTTCCCGTTTGAATGGTTTTACACTAGTAATTTTTGGGGCCCTTTATAGCTTGCTGTTCGGTGTGAGCCAATGCTCCGTTTTGAAAGCCGTACCTTGACCTATAATTGTTTACTTTTATAAATTGTTACTTGGATGGAGAGTTGTCTCATTGGCACTCATACCACATCTTCCTATATCTATTGTGATGTCTGAGCGAATATTTTGTATTTCAAAGAGACATCTAAAGCTTATAATGTTTGGGAGAACATCTTGTTTTCTGCTAATGTATTTCAGGGAGACGTCAAAAGCGTGTGATGTTTGGGAGGACATCTTGCTCGACAATCCACTTGATATGCTTGCTCTAAAGTTTGCTCATGACTCTTATTTCTATCTGGCGTATCATCCACAGATGAGAGATGGAATAGCAAGAGTGATGCCATACTGGAAAAAGTCGATGCCGTTATACGGGTATGTGTCAAGTTTGAGGACGGAAAACATGTTTGATGATTGTGTTAAAAGAGAGGCAAAGAATACCAAAGGGACTTTCAAACTCATAAGTCGAAAATAAACTGACAACGCTATGGCTAAAATAGAAAAAGACAAACAGAAAAACAACAGTACACAAAACAACATAGAAAACCAAAGACTGATATGTATGCATCATTTCGGACAATTTATCAGTTCATGTTAGAGCTCCCATGCAGTAGCTCCAAGTAGCTCCCAGTATGGAAAATGTATGTCCATTATGCAACTAAATTTTTGTGTTTCAGCTGCAATTTATAATTTGTCAAATATTTAACCACAGGTAAACTGGAAAGGACCACGGAGGTACCTCGTGACCAGAAGCTATCTTCAATAGTCGTATTTTCTACTTAAGATTTTTTGTTCTTATTGATTTCCTGCATTCAATTTTTGTTATATTGAATCCCAATATCAAGCATGGGATGCGTTTTTTTTGCACTTTCATCCAATGCACTAAAACATATTTAAAAAGCACATACTTTTAAAGCACATATTGTTTCATTCCCGTGCTTTTAACCTTTTATTTAGCGCATTCGTGTTGTACAAGCATGTATGCAATAAAGCTAATAAGAACTTGTATAATTTTGAAACCAGCCCACAGTTTTTGTCTACTTTTGTCTAGAAATCCCACATACTATACATTATCACCAAAGCGAGAGAAAAAGCTGCATGTTCTAGTGTTGAATTTGTTCAATAGAAATAACTTTCCAAGATGGTGTTTAGATTTATGTGGACACATTCTTTTGGAAAGGGGACTTCTCTTATTTAAAATTACACATATCAACTGTATAAGGATTAAGTTAACTCATTATGTATATACAAATAATGATGTAACTTAGTTATTATAAATCAAGGTATAACACACAACCACATGTAAATACCATGAAGATTATTTATAGTCGCTTCCCTTTGGAAAATACTTATTGTGATGTAAATGAAATTTTGTTACCAGATCCTCATTTTGGAAATAATGAAGCTACATCTATGTATTTTCGAATTTCATATAATTTAATTTTGGATGTAACACGTCTTCTGATTGCTGAAAGTGTTTTGTCTATCAGCTCATAGACATAATTTTGTCATGCCGCGGTGACCGTGACGTCATCAACGTTTTTATACGCCCGTTTACGGAACGTATTATGGTATACCGTTGTCCGTCTGTCCGTCCGTCTGTCCGTCCGTCCGTCGTCAACATGTCGGACAATAACTCAAAAACGCTTTAACCAATTTACATGAAACTTTGGTGAATTGTTCATATCTATTGACGTAAGCTTCCTTTCAATTTTTAAAAATTTTGGATTTTGCGTTTCCGAGTTATGGGGTTTTATTTATTAAAAAAAGGGGGATTTTCCAGTTTTCGGACAATAACTCAAAAATGCTTTGAACAGTTTTCATGAAGCTTTAGTGAATTGTTTATAACTATTGATGTGAGCTCCCTTTCGATTTTAATAAATTTTATTTACGTTTCCGAGTTATGGGGTTTTATTCATTAAAAAAATGGAGCTTTTCCAGTTTTCGGACAATTACTCAAAAATGGCTTGAGCAGTTTTCATGAATATTTGGTGAATTCTTTATGTCTATTGATGTGAGCTCCCTTTCGAATTCAATAAATTTTAGATTTTACGTTTCCGAGTTATGGGGTTTTATACATTAAAAAAGGGGGAATTTCCAGTTTTCAGACAAATACTCAAAAATGCCTTGAGCAGTTTCATGAAACTTTGGTGAGTGGTTTATATCTATTGAAAAAGCAACGGACGTATCATGCGCTCATGGTGCAGCTGTTTATTTCATGATTTACTCCTTACAAATGGAATTTAGAATTATATTATAAGGAAAGACTGTACTATTTTTTCTGTCTATTCGAAATAACATAACAAAATGTGGTGCACACGTAGCGGGTTATTCAGTGTGCACCACATTTTTTATGTTATTTCTTCATAGACAGAACAAAAATATTACAGTCATTCCTTAAGATGACAAAAGTCTAGACACTACAGCAAGTTTTACATAGTGGTTTACATACAATTCGTTTTGATTGATTGAAAATTCAGGCCTGTGTCTAGTACACTTTAAAAATAAACTTATACAGAATTATCTTTAAATGATTGAGTTATTGGTGAATAGTGACATTAAAGGTAATATATGTTGCATCTACATGTGTTTACAAATATAATTACAAATGACTGATTATAGTACATATCAGTGCATGTATCTTAATTGCTTGAATGAAATGTTTTTTTGCAAAAAATGTTTGTTGGTTTGTAATGATTTATAACTGTTCTGAACATATTATTTGATATATCGACTGCCGAAAGAGAGACTTATTGAATAAGTTCTTTGTAGGTATCTACTTGGGATGCATGCTTTTGGATTAGAAGAAACAAATTTGTATGATCATGCAGAAAAGACGGCAAGAAGGGTACTGGATTTTGATATATGCAACTTAATATTGTCATTATAAATGAAAAGAAAAGATATGGTGTGGTTATACATTAAAATCTTTGTCTGTGGACAGTAATATGTTGTTTCATCATAGTCGCAAATATACCTCAATTGCTTATTATCTGCGTTGACATTGGTGAAAGCACCGCGGGTCTAGTAACCGCTTCACTCCATCCGTCCGTCCGAAAGACTTTGGACAAACAACTCTCGTCAAAACCTTTCTTGGTTTCTATGGAAAGAAATATTTTTTTATTTGGTATGGAGCTTGATTATACGTGCAATCTTTACATTATCGGTGCAACCACATGTTGTTTGCTTATAGTTTTGAAATTTTACAACACTCTCTGTACAAGATAATATTTTGTCAATTTTTCTTGGCTTCAATGGAAGGAAATTAACAGTTATATGCTTTTGTATACATGTCACCTCAATCAACTGCATACAGCGACACAGGTCTAGACACGGTATTAGTCTTGTTTTTTAATATGAATAATCACATTACATAGAAGGTCCATACGATTTCGTTATATAATTGGCCGAGGCATTTCAAAAGTTATATTTTATTTCCGTATTAAATGCACCATTTATGACTACACATACTCTCTGTGACAACGTTAGAATAATGTATACAAAAACAAACGGAAGCTTGATTTAATTTCGTAATTTTATGGTTGTGGCATGAAACTGTAGTTATAAGTATTGGATGCTTATTTTTGTAATTTTTAAGGGCTTGAAAAGCGTTGATTGTGCGGTCATATTTAGTACGAACCGCTTTAGCGCTTCATACACAATGTGCTTCAGTAAACCCTTTGACACCACAACAAGATTACAAAAGGATCATTCAATTCTTATTTATAAATCAAAACAAAAAATAAATTCCAACACAAAGTAAGAAAACAATGAAAATAAGTTTTTTTTTTTTTATGTATAGAGCCTTGACATAAATAGACACGATGCTTGGGCTACCCATGCTATGGCGCATGTGTTCGAGATGGGAGGGCGCCAAAATGAAGGACTGCAATTCATGTCAGCGACAGAGAACGATTGGAATGTAAGTAAATAATACTATGATACGTGAACGAGTTATTTGTATTTTATCTAATTAAAATATAAGTTACGATGCACAATGATCTATGACTGCCTTACATGTATCTCAATGGATTGTAAGCTGCTGATGCACTATGATATGTGAGTAAGTAACCGATGTAATGAGATACCTGAGTAGGTAATATGTATCTTTGATTTTTATATCTCATTTGAATTTAAGTAACTGCATGCGGCACTAAGATACGCGAGTGAGTGACATGTATCTTTGTATCTTATCATAATGTAAGTAATTGCGGCACTTAGAAAGTGTGTGAGCTACAAGTATATCATTGTAATGTTAAGTGTCGATGCGCTTAGATACGTGCGTGAGTTGCAAGTATATCATTGTAATGTTAAGTGTCGATGCGCTTAGATACGTGCGTGAGCTACAAGTATATCGTTGTAATGTTAATTGTCGATGCGTTAAAAAACGTGTGTGAGTCACAAGTACGTCATTGTTATGTTAATTGCCGATGTGCTAAGATACAGGTGTGTGTTACAAGTACGTCATTGTTATGTTAATTGCCGATGCGCTAAGATACAGGTGTGAGTTACAAGTACGTCATTGTTATGTTAATTGCCGATGCGCTAAGATACAGGTGTGTGTTACAAGTACGTCATTGTTATGTTAATTGCCGATGCGCTAAGATACAGGTGTGAGTCACAAGTACGTCATTGTTATGTTAATTGCCGATGCGCTAAGATACAGGTGTGTGTTACAAGTACGTCATTGTTATGTTAATTGCCGATGCGCTAAGATACAGGTGTGAGTTACAAGTACGTCATTGTTATGTTAATTGCCGATGCGCTAAGATACAGGTGTGAGTTACAAGTACGTCATTGTTATGTTAATTGCCGATGCGCTAAGATACAGGTGTAAGTTACAAGTACGTCATTGTTATGTTAATTGCCGATGCGCTAAGATACAGGTGTGAGTTACAAGTACGTCATTGTTAGGTTAATTGCCGACGCGCTAAGATACAGGTGTGAGTTACAAGTACGTCATTGTTATGTTAATTGCCGATGCGCTAAGATACAGGTGTAAGTTACAAGTACGTCATTGTTATGTTAATTGCCGATGCGCTAAGATACAGGTGTGAGTTACAAGTACGTCATTGTTATGTTAATTGCCGATGCGCTAAGATACAGGTGTGAGTTACAAGTATATCATTGGGATGTTAGTAGTTGTAGTACAAAGATACGTGAATGTTGTTCCTAAAGTTTATACAAACGTATTTTGTGAGTGTATTTAGTTGTCTTGTATACGAGATTATAAAACTTATTCTAGTGACAAAATAGATTATTGATTTGTGACGAACTTTAGTTATTTGGAATTGGCGATATTATGATGTATTATGCATCATAACACGCAGCTGTACAAAAGTGAATCCAAGTAAAATTTGAAGGACATCTTTAAATTGGCCCTTGTGTGAAATAAAATCAGGAGAAATTTACCCTTGTGTGAAATAAATACAAGGAGATTGATCTTACCTCTTTAAAATTGACCTGTTTTCTCTTAACTATATAAAAAAAGAAGATAAAATCTGACATAACTGATCAATAACTTAGCTAGTTTTATTATCTAATACTAATTCCTCATTTGATTGACGTTTATGTGTTTTGTTTCAGATTTGTGGAATGATAGCATGTCATAACTACTGGCATTACGCTCTTTATAATATTGAAAAGGTAGATATATTTAGAAAAAAAAATATGCTTCTTGATAAAGACGTTTGTATTTGATTTTGAATAATTTTCAAATAGATTGACCCTGTTCATCATCACCATTGACAAACCATTAATGAAATTGTTGAAATGTTCATCTGGTGCAATCACATTGGTACTGCTGAATTGTACGCTGAATTAGGGTCCCGTTTTATTTTTTTTTCTTCTCCAGACTTGTTGTTGTCGTTCTTTGGTTATATACTAGTAATGGTTAGTTTGTTTTTATTTTCCTATGACACCTGAAATCAAACTGTTAGTCTTTGATGCATGATTTTTTTATTAGTTGTTATTAGGTTTGGCAGTAAATGCGAATACTCTCAGATCTGTACTTAGTGTCGTTTTTGTTGTGGGATGTATAAATATCCTGTCACGTCCGATCTATGTTTTTGTTAGCTGTTATCGATCTGATGACGTAAGCCCTTTTCAACTGATTTTTTTATAGTTTGTTCTAATGTTGTACTACTACACCACTGTCCCAGGATAGGGGGAGGGTTTGGCGCCAGCAAACTAGTTTAACCCCGCCACATTCTGTAGTTGGCGATCCCAAGTCAGGAGCGTATAATTCAGTGGTTGCTGTTTGTTGCTGTGTATCATATTTTTTTTTTGTTCATTGTTTTGTACATAAATCAAGCTGTTAGTTTTCTCGTTTGAATTGTTTTACATTTGTCATTTCGAGGACTTTTATAGCTGACTATGTGGTATGGGTTTGTTCAATGTTGAAGGCCGTATGGTGACCTATAGTTGTTAACTTCTATGTCATTTGGTCTCTGGCGGAGAGTTGTCGCGTTTGCAATCATACCACTTCTTATTTTTATATTTATTCATTTTGAGCTTTTTTAGTTTCCTTATTTTCACCTATTTCTCAAATGAATTTAGCAATTTAAAGAAAGATTTTTACATATCTTAGATCTTCCAGTATCTTATGTCTTTATTAATGTATTTGTTGTATACTATTTATAATTTCATCAAGATATCTAAGACTGGCAATAAAATATATCATATACGACAAAAAAATATAACGTGGTAAAAAAACATAAGTCAAACAAATTGTAAATAGGTCATGGTCTCACGAAAATCAGGCAAACAACAAACAGCAGTTTATAAAACACTACACAGAAAACATAACATTGAGCAACCCGAAAAAAATGATATTTATCAGAACTGACTAAAGTAAAACTGCTTGGTAGAATCAGAAAAGCATTTGTAGATACATAAGTTGATACTATTCACTCATCGTAAACTATAAATGTCCATATATTGTCAAAACAACAATAAACTGTTCGAACATTGATTAAGTTTCAATGCACAATGTACATGTATATTCACCGAGGTTCAAATATTTATGAGTCACTCTTAAAAAAACACGCAAGAAAGAAACCACAAGTGTAGCAACATATCCCTTATCATATTGCAAAAAAAAAAAAAAAAAAAAAAAAAAACTTTTTAATTTCTTCGGAGGAAATACGTTTTAACACAATGGCCGTATTTGTTCAATGCAAATTTAAGTTTATTAAAGTTAAGACTGAAATTAGAACTTTTTTTATTAAACCTTTGAAGTTCATTATATTAAATGACACATACATACATTTTGTGTACTGAATGTTTCAACGTGTCCCCCTGTATCTCCATACGTAACCAACCCTTGGAATGTCAACCCACGTACTGAATATGACGCTGACGCTGTTCCTTTGAGGTAGCCTGTGTCACAAATAAAATGCATATTTGAAAGATAATTTCAATGATTTTACCGCTTGTTTTTAATACACAAAAGTAAGGGCGGTTGACCGAAGGCGACAATGTATACTAGCACCCGTTCCCTTTCCTCAATATGTCTACATTGCCAATTACTAGCTGTCTAGGGGTTGCTGTTCCTTGATGTTAAAAGAAATGAGTTTTCGCTTTAATTCTGGGCCTCGCTGGCAAAATAGTCTAACTAGTTTATCAACAGTTAACACAAGCCTGTCACTAATCATGCTAATAAGGCTGACAGTTCGATCCGCACTCATGGCAGGAGCCTCCTATCATTATTGAATAATATTGCCATTTTTCCTACCGATTGAAGGTTGGTGATTATCTCCGGTTATTCCGACTTCCTCCACCAATAAACACCAGCCGCCACGATATATCCAAGAGTTCTAACAAGCACACACATTTAAATACCAGAGTAAAGACTGATGGGTCGGAGTCGTAATAATGTGTCCGGTAGGCATGACATGTCCCCTGACTGTGACATTAACAAACAGACTCAGTGTTTCGGTCTAGTACAAACAGGGTTAATTTCAAATTAACTTATTCTCCATATTGAATGCATGTACTATTTGCCACTGAACGTGTTGATCCGTCCTCCCTGTTGAAGACCATTCGTTCGTCTAAAGTTTTTCAGTCCTATGATCTAGCAAAAAGTCATCACATTTGCAACCATATCTTTCTATTTTATGTGTTCTTCATTCTAATTGTAAAATATGTTACAGTAATTGATTTGTTGTACAGTTAAGTTCATTATGGAATCATACATTAAATGTTTATTTCAGGGGAACTACTCTGATGCTGTAGGATTGTATGATACTCAGGTAGGACTTATATATACCATTTAAGTTTCTCGGAGAGGAAAGCTTAATATAGATCATATTTCCCAGGACATGATGGAAAATGAACACATATATATATTGTTTTTAAAGGGAGCTTTTGCAGTATACATTTTGTAACAATGTTTATATGAAAATCGATATTACTATGTATTTTGGCTGCACAAGTCAAGTATATAAAACTTTTAAACCAGAATGAAAACAAGACACCATATACATATACATTTACACTGGAATGAGTAAAACAAAGTAAGCAAAGATAACAACTTATTTGTTTAATTGATGAAGTTTAAAACTTTCTTTAAGTTCATATTGTTTTCAAGTGGCACTGCATGTCATGAATTCCAAAAGATAACATCATCGTTTTTGGAGTGTTATTTATAATATACAATACCCTGGGATACTGCATGCGTCTGATTAGTTCTTCATAAAACTAACTTTGTTTAACAATAGATAATATGATTTTCTTTGAGCTAGTTTTGCGAAAGGTACAACATAATATATTGTCTTATGAAGGTAGGACCTCTAGCGGCAAAATCTGGCGCAATGTTAGATATGGTTGACGCATGCTCATTGCTGTACAGATTACAGCTTGAAGGTGAGAATAAGCATAATTATAAGAACACACAACGGTAAATTAACTTTGGAAACAAATAAGAAGCCAACAAATTTTAATGCACGTGTTTCATTAACAGTAAATTTAGAGAATATAAAATTAAAACTCTTCTTAACTAATAGTATCTATTCTATAACTAGATCTACATAGGCAACAGTGGTGTACCGACGTTCAAATTTCACAAATCGACTAAAAGACAAACCAAGGTGACACACTCAAAATGAGGGAATCCCATGAACTCTGGAAGAAACGAGACCGGATGCGTCGACAGGGTAACCGTCTCCTGTCACTCGCAATGATAATCAACACCCAGTCAAAATGTCACAATCGGCAAAATCTAGTAATAATGATAATTATTTCATATTATTATTAAGGTGTAAACGTTGGAGATAGATATAAAGACATCCAGGAAGTATGCAGACAACATCTGGATGATCACGTGTTGGCGTTCAACGATGCTCATTGCATGATGTCCTGCATAGGATCAGGCGATAAACTTTCTACAGAAAAGTTGCTGGAATCAATGAGAAGTTTTGTTAAGTAAATATTGCTACGTGTTTTTGACACTTGATTGAATAAGCTAATCATGATCTTTGACTTAGATTAAAAGTATACAAGAATAAGGAGATGTGCTATGATTGCAAATTAGACAACTTTCCATTTGAGTTTGACAAAGATGTATACAACTATAGGGCGCTGTACAGCCTTCAACAATGAGCAAAAACCTATACCGTATACACAATTATAGGGCGCTGTACGACCTTCAACAATGAGCAAAATCAATACTATAGGGCGTTGTACGGCCTTCAACAATGAGCAAAACCAATACCGTATAGGACTCTGTCACTCAACGTGAAACAGTTTAAAAACAGAAAACTAAAGGCCATATTTATGTTTATAATAGTTTGTTATCAAGAATTGTGTATCAAGAGTCGGTTTTTACAAGCAAAACATTAATTTTTAAATGCATGGCTTTACCTTTAGTATTATGATTGCCTCTACACGTTAGTAAGCAACAATCAATCAGTCAGTAAACTGAAACTATTTATTATGTTTGTGTAATTATATGTTTTTCTATTCTTTATTTTCATTAAAGTTGTATACACATCGTTTAAAATACTGCTTTCTCCTTAGACACCACAAGACTTATTTGTAATCTACATAGGGTTATATATAATATCATAAAAGAGGGACGAAAGATACCAGAGGGACAGTCAAACTCATAGATTGAAAACAAACTGACAACGCCATGGCCAAAAATAAAAAGACAAACAGACAAATAATAGTACAGATGACACAACATAGAAAACTAAAGACTAAGCAACACGATCCCCACCAAAAACTGGGGGTGATCTCAGGTGCTCCGGAAGGGAAAGCAGATCCTGCTCCACATGTGGCACCCGTCGTGTTGCTTATGTTATTACAAATCCGGTAAATTGTCTAATTCGGTAGGTCACATTCGTGAAAAGGGAAGGGTATTGTAGTTACGACATAAGGAACATATCCGATATCATCTGTGAAACGGTTATTCCGTAACGGTCAACCAACTCGTGATGGCGTTGTAAAATTTACGAAGGGATGATTTCAACTTCACCATTTGGAATTCTTGGTTTAATAGCTTTCTTGTGAGCAGCAATCCTCTATCAAGGAAATCATGATAGGAAATACAAGCCTGGGAATATCGTATCAATTGGGAGATATATACTCCGTATGCAGGCGCTGCTGGAATGTTGCTACATAGAAATTGAAAGTTTACAATTGGGAAGCTGAAATCATCTCTTTTGTCGTAAAGTTTTGTTTTCAACCGACCCTCATTGTCGATTTGTAGATGTAAGTCAAGATATGAGGCAGACTTAACTGTATCTGTAGTATCCTTTATCTCTAGTTCGATGGGATAGATTCGTTCAACATAGTCACCAAATTTTGTATTATTTATATAGCGGAACGTAAAGTTAAAGGATATTGCAATATTTAAGGAATGATAGTAATATTTTTTCTCTCTATGAAGAAATTACATAAAAAATGTGGTGCACACTGAATAACCCGCGTAGCGGCTTATTTAAAAACGTGCACCACATTTTTGAGTTTATTTCGAATAGACAGAATTTTTTTTACAGTCAGTCCTTATATCTTAATTCTAAATTCCATGTTTAAGGAGTAAATCATGAAAAAACGTTGATGACGTCATAATCACATGACAAAATTATGTCTATGAGCTGATAGACAAAAACTTTCAGCCAATCAGAAGACGAGTTACATCCAAAATTAAATTATTTATAATTATCATGGACATATAACATAATTCTGGGAAACAATGATTCCCAATGAACTATGAAGCAAAAATAAAGATAAAATACTTTGCAGAAATGGAAAGGGTTACAATTGTGCCATAACAAGAGAAGTTGGACTTGCTCTCTGTGAAGCGTTAGTAGCCTATGATAAGGGGGACTATAGCAAGGCTGTGGACCTAGTTAGTCCAGTCAGATACCAAGCAATTAAGATTGGTGGAAGTCATGCTCAGGTATGTTTGTGTAGCCTTTCTGGTTTGACGAAAACTAATGTCAACATTTCTCTTGATTTTTCTGAATGATGGTATCCTTATGAATTTGTAAACTGTAACCCTCGCGTATATGGTTGATACTGACTTAATTCCGGTAGCGACATTTCTACGCGGTATGCTATCTTTAGTTGTGCTAGAACGTTTTCAATATCCATGTATATATGTACATGTCTTTTGGTTTTTATATCGTTAGGTTATATTTATGTATGGAATGTATCTTTCAAGCCCTGCTGGAAATTGAATTTTACAACACTTTAGAAATATGTTTATCAAATTTTGCATCGAAGGACGTCGCAAACCAAAATAATTGCATGTGAATCCGAGGGACAATACATTACTTTACTTCCATTCTTTGTTAATATATTTATGGATTAGATAATCAAATTTTGCAAAAATCTATCAAATTGAGGTTTTAGGATACCTTCAGGATTATAATTTGGTGTTCTATTTAGAAATCAGCAATTATATTGCTAGAACCTTACAGTACACATATCTTTTAAATTCAATTTTCAATTTGATTTGACAATTTCTAGATTTTGACCCAAATACAGGGTAAATTGACCTTACCTTATAAAGAAAACATTTAAAAAGACTTATGTAAGTTTACATGGATCTTCCTTTAGTTTGGGAGCCATTTAAACAACATAAAAATAAAGTTGAGGTTTGATGTTCTTTTCCAATATGATTTATACAGATACAGTTTAACTTGAGTACCAAATCGGTATCTATAAAAGTACATTTTTTCGTAATTGTTTTAAAGAAATGTTTGATACAATATTTACAAGTTTAGCATAAATTAAGAGTTTTGAAATCCAAGGCCTCACTTCAGATACATGCATACCGGGGTTTTGGAAGTATGAACATTCTACGTCAGATCAAAGGAACTTCGCTGATCACATAATGACAAATGGGAACGAAATATTGCTCCATTTTCGATAACTTTAGTATGAAGTTTCCATTGTGGATCAGAAAAATCAAAATAAAAAAAAGTATTTGTTTCTTCTTATTTTTGAATGAATTAATGAATTAATTGTATTTACATAAACTAATTAAAAGCCTACAGTGATGATGGTTATTATCAATTTTTAAATTATATTCAGTGCATGATTGACATAATTAAAGAAATAAACAAAGGCATTACTATTTATGATGTAAATAAAGGTATCAAATAAGTTTAACTGATTTATTTTGAATATTCTTATTAGTACATGAACTTTATGAAGGTCTTTCTTCTATTTGTTATTCCTGCCGGAGGTCGGTGGTTCTCTCCGGGCACTCCGGCTTCCTTCGCCGATCAAAACTAATCGACACGAAATAGCACAATATTTAAACACCAATCAATCAATCAATCTACTATTTGTTTTCAGAGAGATATATTCAATCAGTTTCTAATTCACTGTGCAATGAAATCAGACACAAAAGAACACAACAAACTTGCAAGGTAATTGACACTTATAAATCATGTAAGAAGCAAATAATAAAGTTCCTTTCCTGAGTAGTAACATACCCACTTCACCAGTGTCTTATGTCCGAATATTACACTACAGAGGCTTTAATGATAGATCACACTTTCTGTCATTCATCACTAAAAATGTTTCACGAATTATTTCAGACATCTTCGGATGACGGTATAATTATCGATATCTTATTATGCACCACCCGTCCGAGGTGTTTTTCTGGACTAACTTTAATCGGGAACGCTCACACATAAACGAGTCAAAGGCAGGGATGTGTATATACGCTGCAACGTTAGGACATTTATAAACAAAAAGAACCATAACAGAACAAAAAAAACGAAAATGTTAGAAAGTCGAAGAATTTCAAACTGAATTAGACCTCTAGGACCCAATCGGTACATTTTCATATTGCACTATTATTCAAGCGTCGTAGGATCTTAGAACATAAATATCGTATCTGTCAACTAATTCGTTATGATGACCATTGATTAATCTCTTGAAAATACGTGTCAGTCGTTCTTCGTCGTAATCCTGCTTCAGGAAATGTTGCCTTTAGTGAAAGCTGATTATTTAAACATGCACGAGCGTAACGTGCATCACCTTTTTCGTAAATACAAATATAGACTTTGTTGTTGGATGTATGGTTGGCTTTCAAATATTCGGCTTTGAGCGTTCCCGATGAAGGCAAATCCAGAAAAGAGCTTCGGATGCATGAAATTTATAACGTGTTGTTTTCATTTTTTGGTTTAACGTCTAGTGGCAGGTTCAGCTAATTCAAGACATTTTTTTTTCTCATTTGTATGGTGTTTAGTGTTCAGGTTATTCAGTTGGTTATGATTACGAATTTGTTTTCATTTTATTTTTTGGTGAAAAAAAATCTTATTTTCATTCCTATTCTTACCATTATACAATTTGAGTTGAACGTTTACCACGAAGACAACCTTTTAAAAGTTCATACATAGTCTCTTGTATTTCCGATAATAATAAAAATGAAGGATCAATTACATCTTAATAATAGTTATAAATATATATACAGTATATAAATATAACTATAATTTTGATCAGTGGCATTGATTGTTAATCTCGAAAATCCAAGCGACTTTTTGTCTAATATTACACATGAAAAAAAAAAAAACGATTACACATTTTATGAAATGATATGCACCTATTTTCTATCGACAATCAATTGAACTACGTACGATATACGTGTATAACATCCGGTCATAAATTAAATTATAAAGGGATTGACAACTTGTGTCAATTTAACACCTTGGTTTTATTGCCTATATGTATTAAAATACCACATTAGAATGGAAGGACCAGAAATAAGTACATGCTTATTAAAAAGTTATTTCTACTTTTTTTAAATTTTATGATTTATTTACTTTAGTTAAAACGGATCTTAAAAAAGTTCTCATATTAATTATTTCTCAAGTCAATTAATATTTTCATCCCGAAGTTACAAAATTCTGATTGTTCACACCGTTTAAATATATTTTCCTACTGCTGATAAATTGACCATGATAGAAATGTATTTAAATCAAATCATAACTTTTTACTTTACTTGAACATGCCGAATATTCTATATTTAACTTGTAATTTATTAAGTCCATCAGTTTGGAAATATCTAATTGTCTGCACCATGTCAGTACATGTACATGTATATGTATTGCCGCAATGCGTAAAGATTTTTCCCACAATTATAGTATTTATAGATTGTAACAAACTTTTGGAGCAATTGTTTTATTGCAGAATTTCATGAATGAAATATTTCGAAGACACAATTTATTGTGTACTTTCCCAAACATGAACGAACAAAAAGAAAACGTTTATATTATTGATATACAAAACGTAAAAGAAGACAATGTACATGTATATGCATGTTACCGATTAACTTACACCGCGTTAAAACTGACATTCTTACTTTTCTCGTAGTGTGATAGTGAAAATAATGTATTGATCCTTTTTTTTTATAAATAAATGGTAAGTTATATAGTACGAACTATAAAAAGTTTTTTCAAGATAATAAAAAGTGCTACCAACAGAAAAAAAAACAACCAAAAATAATTACACAAAGAAACTAATATTTTATTGTAATAAAGGTTCATCTATATTTATCATCAATTGTATCCGAAAAGAGAATGTACCATATATAAAACCATTTACTGGTCAATACAGGTTGATAAAATGCGTTGAAGCATAACAAACCGATAAATGTTGATAATTCTTATATGGTGTTATCACCATTAAGGAAAATGGGAACAGGATTGTGATTACGACAATTACAGTCAAGATGTCTTACTTTAATATGTATAGTGTGTCGTACGATTTTATTCAAGAGTTCATATTTGTGTGTAAACAGTATACGACATACACTCACATTTAGATTTAATTCTTGTATATGTGTAGTGTATGATGCAAAGTCTTGATTTTTTTCAGACAATTATTGGTCGAAAGAAAATGTTTGAAAGAGAATTCCCCTTTAACGGATAGATTAATGGCAAAAGCCATGGTACACCATACAGGTTAAAAGGTTTCAGTAATTTGAGATGAAAATAGACACGGATGCTAAGAAATCATCTACGCACCAATCAAAATAGAAATGTAGACAAGTATTTCCTAAATAATTTTGGAACAGTTCTATTTTCATGCATATATTTTTTTCATCACATTTGTTTTTTATGTATATTCATAACGTTACATAATATAAAGGTAATACACAAGAAACAGAACTGGTATCATAATGTTGTGTTGACTTTCATTTAAAGCATAGAAAATAAGATGTTGAACAGTTTATCAGTGAAACGGTTCAATGATTATTCGTCAAAAGCAAGGCAAGTCTGCATTGGAAACAGTATTTATTGTTCGATCTGTCAAGTGTCCTTATCAGTATAATGCAGTGAAGAACTGTTTCAAACTTCAGTATAGGTGTTCATTCTAAAATATTATTAGAGTCCTATGATTCAGGAGTCACATGTAATTTTTAAATATACAAAACAACCTTCTTTCCATCAGAAGTGATGTAATTGTCGGTATTCGGTAGCTGACACCTATGTATACGTTACACGTGCTACATGTAATTAAAGTTTGATATTGTACATCATTTACGTGGTTTTTGGTTTTGTTTCCCAACCGCAATACGTTTTCTGCATTTTCCAGTTTTTGCATCCGTCGTCCTGTATTGTGTTACAGAAGTTACTACAGTTTTGACCTGGATTGATGAGTGCAAGTTTATGGAGATGTAATATTGCGAGCATTGCATGTTGTCCTATGAACACACATTCTTCTTGTTATCTATATATTATATCATAATTATAGAAGTGAGTCATAACTGGACCATGAACTGCTTACCATTAGAACATCAGTACACTTGTACTGTTAACAAGGGGTTTCTGTATTTTGAAAAAAAAAGATGTTTTATATTATATCTGTCATTAAGTTGCTATCTTATTAACGTATACTCTGTATCTCCTCTCATTGGTTTTATTCCTAATTTTACAAAACAGTTTGAATCCCTCGTTACTTTTGAATACGTGCAGTCTAGTTGCTGATTCCCACCTTTCTACGTAATTATAGGGCACTATCTTTAATATTTTAAAGATTTAAAAAACACACACAAATTGTATTACTTCTCTGACACCATTTTTAATTAAAAGATTATATTTTGAACTTCTAATCGGAAAAAGTATACGCCATCACTGTATCATTTCTTACATAAAGGAAACATATTGTATATATACAATGTGTGATATATTTCTTCCATTCTTCAACATGTTCAAACACTACGAACAATACTTCTTATTTGAATCCAAAGGACCCAGCACTTGCATGGGCGTACGCCCATGTTTGCACTGGTGGTGGTAGTGGTACACTACAACACTGACCATCATCGTACTTCTCGCAACCACTACATGGAACGTCTCTGCGATCAGTAATAGGACAATTCATTGGTCTATTACAGCCCATTGCTAAGGAATAGGAAAATAAAAAAAATATACACATTAGTAACAAGACAATTCATTGGTCGATTACACCCAATATATATGATATATATAAACAAATAAAAAGAAATATGCACAAATGCATACAATATTCAGCTTAGTGATATAATTTTAATTTGAGTATATGAAATTCAAACTCGAGCTAGGATTGATGCATGCATTATCACGTCAAGTTATGTTTCAAGCATGTACGATATATCCTACTTCACACTATAGCCAGTCACACTCTTAGCCGAATATTTACGGAACATCTCTCAAAGTAAACGTCATAATTATTAATGGTTAAATATAAAAACCTATGACAGTCATCCTCAACCCACCGTAGCAACTTATACTGACTGCTATATTTTCTGATTGCTAACCTATGTAATCATATTATTTTTGGGCTGACTACAGGAATAAGATTTGTCTAGAGATATTTGTTAGAAAAAAAATATGATAGAAACATTTTGTTCATAGAATTATGTTAGATTATTAGAGGGAGATCCCAAGTCGACAATCAAATATCACAAGTCAAAGAAAAATAGACAATCTAATGCAAAATATATGTAAAATTTGTTTTTCATTGGCTAAAAGTTACCATCAAATCCACAGTTGTCATGCCGTAACTAAAGAGTGACCCGCCATTTTGAATTGGTGGATCAACACATGATCGATTACTACAGTAGTATGGAAAATAAAACAACACATACCTCGAAACGCCTTGTTTTATCTGATTTTATCCAAATATGAATCGTGGAATTCAGTTTTTGAGATCTTATTACGTTGTACTCAAGTTCCAAACCAACCGGGACATACTGAACAAATGAATGTGTGTTGCTGACTCAGTCAGAATTACGTTTCCGAAAAAAATTATAGATATCAAGTTTGAAATAAGAAATGTCAAGTTTGAAATGAGAAATATCATTTTGAAATGGAAAATTTAAACAACAACAATGTCCTCACTGGTCGTTTGTAAAGTAAACTTTAAAATAAATGATACTTCTGTTTTGCATTAACACTTCTAAGATATTTTGAGATACTAATTCCATTGTTTTCGCTTTGAGTACTTACGTGGTGGCTTCACTGCAAATTAAAAAAAAAAATCAAATAAAATCACAGTACAATAAAGATGATCCATTCTCAACTTTGAAAACAAATGTTTGGGCAAAACAGTTGTCCTAAAAATTTCAAAAAAAGTATTATTTACTTGTAAATAATATATAAAATTTGTTTGTTATTATTTTTAAAAGTCTACAATATATACATTCATATACGATAAGTTTTAAAAAAAAATATTACCAGCAGGCAATTTCCATTTGGCAGAATCTTTTTAAGCAAAACAAGTTTATCAATTAGCAATGACCCTGAACCTATAAAACATAGTCTGTGACACATGTGGGTTTATGAAAAGTTCGAAATAGGAAGCAACCTTGTGGACAGTCGAAAAAAAAAAAATCAGTAAAAATATCAAATAAATACTTACAACATTTCGCTAATTCCACTGAAAATTAAAAAAAAGCAAATATGTATTGGCTGAATTATGTTAATATAGTTTGATTTATATAGGAATAGCTGAATACAAACGTTGTGATAACATTGGACGAAAATGAGACTAAAACTACATGAATAATGCAATAAAACTGTTTGCCAGCCTAAAGAAACGACCCTTCTGGAATACAAATAAAATAGATATGTGGTATGATCGCAAATAGGACATCTATCTACCAAAGACCGTGGACGAAAATGTAAACAAGTACTTGTGATCGGCCGGCCTTAAACATTGTGCAATAAGGTCAGGGTTTGACAAAATGCTAAAAAAAAATTCCGTCGAGAAGTTGGAGGATAATTATATTCATAGATAGACCACGATGTTTAAAAAATCAACATAAGAAAATGTATATGAGACGAGGAAAGAGACATTCTCTTGCAACTAGACAATTCAATACTATACAAAAGAGCTATGGAAAAATGTTTAAACTGATCTGAAATGGAAAACGTTTTACTTCTTAGATATAGAACATATGTCAGACCTAAGTACGGATTGACTGTAAACAGGGTTCAAATCAAAGAAAAATATCTCATCAAAATTTCCATTAAAGTGCAGAATAATGTCTATACATTTTGATCATTAAACTTAAACAGGCAGTAGCTACGGAAATCATGATTTTTGTAACGCCGTGAAAATGGAATACCTTTATAGATATCAATGAAAAATATGTTTCGTGTTAATTTCATGACTCAGCAGTGTCTTATGTTCTTTATTTTTAATATTATTTGTTTTGTCATTTCTTCGTTTAACTCTGTCGTGTACACTTGATTGGGCCTCTCGGCTGACCACATTTATATACAGTGAATTTTTCACCACTTAAATCTCATTTTCCGCACTTATCTTATGTTTTGCAAAATTGCTGCAATTGTGAATATGAGTACTACTACAGACTCACAATCTCAATCATTCCATCGTACCTCTTAAACAAATAATCGAAAAAACTTGCATTCAGGCAGAGACATATATCACTAAATATACAGGTGAGATTTTTGTCAATTCGTTACCAATTAAAGTTGGCCGATTCCTTTTTACTCGTCGTTAACACCATCTCCCTATATATATCCTGGTCCAGGCATGACTTGCTATTGTCAATTTCGACATGTTAAGATAGCATTGTACAAAGCCTGTGATATCTCTGCTGTAAATTGTCCATATTATGTCCACCTCATCGATTTTCATACTAGTAAACATTTTTTTGAAAGGCTTAAGTAATTTTACTATTTTATCAATTTCAGAGGCCAAATGATAACTGTTATCATTCATTAATTTTTCAATGGAAATATACAGGGATAATCAATCTCCTCTAAATGAGGGGCGAAAGATACCAGAGGAACAGTCAAACTCATAGATCGAAAAAAAAGTGACAACGCCATGGCTAAAAAATAAAAAGACAAAGAGGCAAATAATAGTACACAAGACACAACATAGAAAACTAAAGACTAAGCAACACGAACCCCACAAAAAACTGGGGGTGATCTCAAGTGCTCCGGATGGGTAAGCAGACTCTGCTCCCCATGTCGCACCCGTCGTGTTGCTCATGTTATTACAAATCCGGTAAATAGTCTAATTCGGTAGGTCACATTCGTGGTGAGTAAAAGGAAGTGGATTGTAATTACGACAAAGAAACATATCCGATACCATCTGTGAAACGGTTATTCCATAACGGTCAACCAACTCGTGATGGCGTCCGTAAAATTTAAACAATCTCCATGCATCTTCCATTATAAATTATCCTCATTCCACTGTAGGTAATGTTTTATTCATTTGTTAACCTTGCAGTTTTTCTGCATTTGTAGGGAAATTTTACCTGTTTCTAAACTTTTAGATAAATATATATGATGCAATTTTCTTATCCAGTTTGAATCTTAAGATTCCTTTTGTGGTTTGTTCTTGAAGACTCAACCCCGTGTATTAAATCGAGGAAGTGGTCCAAGCCCTGTCTCTTATTTTTGAGGGAAGTGGTATTTAACCTGTTTCACCGAGTAAAAGATGTGCCTTAAATATGAACCACTTGGCGTAACACAAAAAAATCAATCAATTAATTATTTAATATGAAATTTGCGTCTCTTTACGTTGTGCACACTGTCAATCAACTAGCCAACCAACCAATTAAATCAACCGTTTAATCTGTTATTGAATGTGAAAACGTCAAACTTTACAAAATGGAAAAAAAAATCAATCAATCAATCATTTACCTTCTTACCTCCAAACTAACCAAAAAAACAAGTCGATAGTAAGAGCCTGTCACGTGATGAAATCCATACATTTAATCATAAAAAAAGAACTATGAAAAGTTAGAAAAACATTCATTAACAATTGTTTTATATTTATTTGTAGCAGTGTTAGAAAAACCGCTAGTGCACCGATGTAATTGAAATTACATTCATACTTTTGAGATGATTCTTTATTTAAATGTCTCAAGTCTCGACACTCATTTGTCAATTGTCAACTGTAAACATTTATCTAACATGTCTTATTTGTTTAATATATGTTTCCGTTTAGCTCAAACGGCCAATTTTCTTTTCAAAACTTTAAGTTTAAATGACTAAATTTGATGAAATCGTGAAATCATCCAAGAAACTTGAAAGGTATCTAACGAACTGAGTTGTTAAAAGCTGCCAATTAAGAACGCCTTTTTCAAGAGTTGATAAATATTGTAACGGGCTTATGTTTGTAATTATAAATAAGAAGATGTGGTATAAATGCCAACGAGACAACTATCCATCCAAGTCACAATGTGTAAAAAGTAAACAATTATAGGTCAAAGTACGGCCTTCAACACGGAGCTTTGGCTCACACCGAACAGCAAGCTATAAAGGGCCCCAAAAAGACTAGTGTAGAACAATTCAAATAGGAAAACCAACGGTCTAATCTATATAAAAAACGAGAAACACTTATGAACCACACCAACAAACGACAATTAGTATAATTTCGTTTAGATTGTTCCATATATAAATACACTATTGGTCAATGACTTGTCAACACAGAGTGACTAATATATATAAATATCCTGAACGGCAATCATAAATACACTGTCATTAAGCGCCATGCAAATAACTTCATAATAAACAATGTTATTATCATACATAAAACACGTACAAACTACATAACCATAAAAAGTGTACTCACGTGATACTCCTTTAACTAAAGAAAAAAGTGAAAAAAGTAAGCATACACAAAAATTACTGTAAATTCAGAAATTATTCCGGGGGTTTTATTAATGCGAATAATGCGAATGAGTGAGTATCGCAATAATAAGAACTCGTATTCTGATATCAGATATATATAACTGTATGCAGATTTTCCATTAATTGCAATAACTCATCTCGCATTTTTGTCCTTTCCACAAATATCGCAATGATAAATACAAGGAATAATTTTTGAATATACAGTACATAAATGTAAAAAGAAAATGTTTAGATCGTTGTATTTATTTCAACTGCATTTTGAAGATGATAAACATAGTAAGCATAACATTATCCAATAAACTAACGAAATAAACAGTGATACCGTTCCCCCTTCTCTTGTGTCTCGTAGAAATCATTCTCTTATAACTTTTCCGGAACAGCCTTTTTACATTCTACTTATTTGTCTTTCCGATCGCAGTTACGTCGATAAACCTTCTCGGTTGTCTTCATGTAAAGTGCTTTGCTGGTGTGCGCGGGGTCATGTGTTCGATCTCCGTCCAAGTCAAACTAAGAATTGAATATTTGCTGCTCCTCCGCCAAACATGTGCCAAACATGTGGCATTTAGAAGTAATAGCAAATACTGGTCAGCTCTAAGTCAGAATAGTATGTCGGTTAAGTACAACGCATGGTTAATATTTATATAACATTAAAATTGTCTCGTTCTAAAGTTTTGCGCACAAAATATTTATCCTGGTATCTATGATGAGTTTATCTAAATATGCATTTGCTTTGCCAATTATAAGTAAATTTCTTATTATTCTGTGTCACGTCCAATTCCCCCTTCCTCAGTTGCCTCATCAATCCTTAGGAATCAATAAAATAACATATTTACTTTTTATTTTCCTGTTCTTGTTTTTCATGTGTTAAGGATGTTCGCTACTCTGTTTCAAAATATCAAACCTTCCAGAAGTTTGTTATAAATTGATAGTATATGAATAAAGGAACTAAAAAAGCAGAAAAAAATGAAGGGTCTGTGTACTTGTTTTCGAGATATAAGGCATTGAAAATTTTGCGGGAAATTATTCTCTCTAGACTTTTTATACCTTTAACATTGGCACCTGTTTTCTTTCAAAAACTATGAAGAAATAACAAGGACTTTTTAAGATTTTCAAATATGGCTTTTAAAACTATACGTCATAAAACTATGAAAAGAGAAGTAGGTGTTAGCACTCAAATTTTTTTAATGGCACTACATGACTAAAACCAGAGGATTCCAAATATCTGACAAAAATTCAAAAAAAACAAGAGGAACGAACATCCTTAAACCTTGTTAACATAGTCTGATTTGGTTGTGACCTTCGTTCTATGTTCGTTAAAAATCAAATATGTAGGAATGTCGTGTAATTATCTACGTAACAGTTAATGTCATTGTAACTTTTAATGTTCTGACATAAACTTAGGTATATTGAAATTAAGAACATGAAGCTTATACATACTAACCTACATAAACTACTGGTCTCATGAGCTTTGGCGAACAAATGGAACAGATGGTGGGAGGATATTTGTATTTTTCTAAAAAAAAAAACAAAAAATATCAAACTAAGTATACATACATGTATAATAAAAATACCGAACTCCTATGTATATTAAATAAAAGGGAAGTTCATAAAAACTGACAAAATCAAATTTTATCAACCACCAGAACGAGTTAAGACCGGGACTATATAGAATGTGTTTCGTTGGAAAATATTCATTCTTAAAATTTGTTTGATTGACCAGAAATCCGTGAACATTAAAAAAAAAGCGTATGCAAAAATTTCAAACTTTCGTTTTGATGCAAATGAAGTTCTAAAAGTTTAAACATCTTTGGATATAAAAAAGAAGATGTGATAATTGCCAATGAAACAACTATCCACCAAAGTTGAATGTAATGAAACGTCACCGTACGGCCCATACTGTAAAGTCAGCTATATAGATCCTGACGTGAAAAATGAGAATCAATTCAAAGGAGAAAAATAACGGCAAGATGTATTTCCTCAATACAAATATGACACTGAATAACTGGATTTTCACTTTGGGCAGGCCCATTAGGAATATATCGGGGTAAAACGTGTTTGTAAGCCCTCCACCTTCCCCTAACCTGATACTGTGGTGTAACAGCACATCATAAGAACAAACTGTAAGAATCAGTTGTAAATGGCGTATCACAAACGATCGGTACGAAGCACAAAAAGCAATTTACAAAAAGCAATTGACAAAACACCGAATTAAGAGTACTCGCTGTTAAAATACAAATTTCTATAATTTTACATGAAAAGTATACCGCCTAGGCAAGACTTACCTAGCTTGTACGTCCTCATCTGTCATTACTGAGTAAAATTGAATTAAAAATGATATTATATGATTGAAAATGATATATCATTTTCGTATATCATATACAAGAAATTAATTTGAAGCATGAATTTAGGGACAAAAAATTATCTTAATGTAAAAATAGAAAAAAATCTATAAATGAAACAAATAAACATGTTTGAAATACGAAGCAGTTTATTGCATGTAATTATTTTACGTTGTTGATTGAAGGTTCTGAAAATGGGGTTGCACTGATCAACTTAGAACTAAGTTTTACGACTACTGTAGATCATATTATCTTAAAAATAAGATGTGGTATGATTGGCAATGAGACAACTCTCCCCCAGAGACCAAGTACCGTAGAAGGTTAGCAACTATAAGTAACCACAACAATAAACAGAAAACCCATACCGCATTACAAGCTATAAGACTATTTCCTGAGGAGGACAGTTACATTGTACAACAGCTAGACTACATGGAAGAAATGCCTGCAACAATAGTGAATGTAGTAGTATAACTCAAAAAAGCGCCTAAATGAAGATGTTCATGTCGAAATTTTCCTTCAAATTGATACGTACTAAATTTGCTCTCGTAAACCCACGTGATCTTTCCTGAAAGTGATACCTCCTTCACACATTGGTACTGGTTGCCATTTCGACTGAAAAATAATACTGTTAATATATGTTGTGACTCATTATAAGTAATACAATTGGCGTAACATTATTGAAAATTTAATTTTTAGTGCACCCATCTAACATAAACATTCGAAATCATATCAACTGTACTATCATTTTTGCCCGTTTTCAAATATTCAGGATATCTTCCAGTCAAGTCAAGTGCAAAACTTAAAAAAAAAAAAATAGTAAAAAGTAAATGAAGGATAAATAACTTTTCATTTGGCGTTAATTTGTATTTAATTACCATTACTATTGTTAAATAAATCATTTACATTACATCAATGATGAGTATAGAGCTTTTATTAAAGTAAATAATATGTATAATATCAATTTAGAAGACGGAAGAATGCTTTTGAATTGAGCACCCGGATAACTTAGTTTCGTCTTAAGAATAATCGTTTAATGATTAAGGCAACTGTAGTTTATCGATTTTCAAATTTCGGAAGTCAAATTAGTAGTGATTCATCAATGTAACGAACCAATTAAGGGTCTCCTACTCGTGCATCATCCAATTCATAACACGTTTAATTAACAGCACAAAAAACGTTTCTATGACAGTTCTAAAATTTGTCTTTAATATTTGTCATAATTAAATAAAGCCATTTTGGTTTTTTTTAGGTTGTGACAGTTATTGCATAGTTTGTCTTAGGTATAATAATAAAAATGTACGACAAAAGAGAACTTTCAGAACATAAAATTGACAGTCACTTATCAAAAGTTTTTTCAAATGTTAATGTTACTCTTTCAAAGCAAGCAAAGCAATTTGTATAAATAAAACTGTTGCTGAAGATAAATATCTTTTAACATTTTGAGGCCAAAGTACTTAATTTGCTGTTTATCATTTTTGTTTGTTGTTTATTATCTTGTAAATACATCAGGGCATTCGTTTTATATTTGACCTTTAGGAACCCTTTCTATGCGATATGTGTTTTGTTTGTTGTTGAAGGCCGTATGGTGACCTGCAGTTGTTAACTTCTACGTAATTTAGTCACCGGTGAATAGTTGTCTGATTGGAAATCATACCACATTTTCTTATTTTTCATGTTTTTTATATTTGCCACACTTTTACATTTAATTTATATGGTAGATGTACGGCATAGTCTTCTTATTTGCGAAATTATGAATTCCAAAGTACTAGTCATGAGTGATGTTTTTGAAAGTGGATAAGATATGATAAATTCTTAAATTTATAGTAAACTTCGGACGTCAAAGTCCTTGATTAAGGTTGTCTCAGTATATCAAAATTGTTTTTTCCTTTACAATTATATCGATAAAGCATTATGCTTCTTCGTGGAGCCTTTTCATGCTTTTAAATATGTGAGTTGACTTGATATTGTAATGGAATTAAGAATTGTAATCCTGTCTTTGGCAAGAACTGATCTTGACGACGCACATGTAAAATTGTCTAACTGAATTCACCTTAAAGTTCAGGTGAAATACTAAATACGTGTAGAAAATAGATGTTTCTATTGATTTCAAAGAAAAAGGCAAATGGAAGAATTATTTTCATAATCTTATGAGCCTTGAAATCATTTTGATCATGACACACCCAAAAGATTTCAAATATGCAATTATGTTATATTAAAAATACATCGGTATAACTAAGAATTGTCCAAAAACTAGTCTGAGAATAATAAAGACACTAGTAGTTTAACGATGTTCAAATATCGTAAATCGATTAAGAGGTGACGAATCTTCTGACTGTCAAACCTTATTTTGTTGCGTGTTATTTCCTCTTCTAGATTAAAATAATACATCTTATTTGGTTTAATATATATACAAAAAATATAATAGATAGAATAATAAGTATTAATATAATTATAATAACGGTAATAAATAATAGGAAAAGGAACAACTCAAGAACATGAATATGTTGATTGAAGGAATTGTTTTGTAGCAACATTATAATTTGATAGTTTTTATATGTTTAAAATTTAATGTTACAGTTGTATGTAGTAAATCACACGATAAGATATATCGCAACAAACATATTTTAAAAGTCGTACAAGCGTATTTGAAGCATAATAAATTCTTCCGTGTGCTCTTTTTGTGGCAATCTATACCATGTATAGTAACAACTTATTATTACATGTATTTAAAATTTTATTTATCATAACATGTATTCAAAATTTTATTCATTATTACATGTATTTAAAATTTTATTTATTATTTGATTGAATAAAGCAAAAGATACCAAGGAGACAATCTCAACCCATAAGACAGAGAAAGACATATACCGCTATTACAAAAGCAAAAAGATCACACACAGATACAACAGTTAAAAAAAATAAGATAACACTGTAAAACAGAACATTACTGCAAGCCGATTGAGATTAAAGTCACGGAGGAAGTATTTTCAAATTTTCACAATATTAATCCTTAGTTATATTAAAAAAAAGAAAACTACTACAAATTGGTTACATAAACAATAAGGATTTGTGACACGTTAACGTTGAAAATAGTATTTATTCGAATATTAAACGAGATTAAACATGTCAACATGACTAACACTTAAAACAAATTAGTAGGAGCATATTTTTTGCTAAGTTGATATCATGCAATGGACACTTAAATGCTTCAATTAGTAAGTAACTGATATCAATTTTGGCACAGATGAAGGCGACAGATCTTGTTGGCGTTTTAGATTGAACCCCAAAAGTGAATAGGAAGATCTAATGTTAGTACTTCCACTGCGTTGATACCTCTACTGATGCAGTCTTAGATAAACCCATCTAAGTCGCCAGTACTTCGGTAGTGGAATGGAAATACGGATATTATTTGACTGAAATTTGAGGTCATAAACATTTGAAATAAATTTAAATCAAGGAATACATTTTCCTCATGAAAAGCTCTGATTCCTTGTACAGATTAGATTATAATGTAAGTCGTTTTTGGTTTGATCAGCTCTTCAACGTTCTTATTAGGTTTTAAATTCAAATACATTGGCCTTATTCATCACTCAGATAACATTGTTTGTGGACATGCACATCTTGTGCAGTAAAATTGGTACCGTCAATGTTATTGTTGTGTATAGATCGCAAAATCTTTTACTCACCGTTATTTCAGTTAACCTTTTTGAAAAATCCGTTTTGTATATGGTGTTATAATCAATGAATAACCGATTAACCGTCGTAAGGACCAACAATCGAAAACCAAAAGCGTGAACCGGTTAATCGAATGTTTTTCAATTTTAATGAATTTGATGTAAATCTGATTGAAATCATAAACAGCAATATCAAATTTTAAAATGATCATTGTTGTACTTTATGAAATCAATTATCCAGTATATTAATTCCTTGATTTTCAATGAAAACATTCCAATTTTACACAATTAATGAGCACAAATACACGTTGTTCATCAGCATTGGCGAATATTAAGGAAACATCATTTACACGTGTACGGCGTGTAAAATAAATTGAACAATTACAATCTGATCAAAATTAAGTTGACGATTTAGACGATCAATAATTCATTTTGATTTTATATTAAAAAAGTGTCAACCTTCAACATCCAAGTCTAAGTCATAATTAAAACGAAATGGCAATTCAAAATTGTGAAATGCAAATTTAGTGTATATATTTGCTGGTGGTACCAGTCACAGGTAGAAATGAACAATACCGAATGACTTAGGAAAGGATGTCACGATAGACTTCAAACATATTGTATCATATTACAATGTATTCGTAAAGTATTGCAATCGTTGTCTTTTGGCATCATCTTTAGTACCGTTTAACCAGTCAATCGGTCGAAAGAATATATCTAAGTAGTCGGTTAGGTAAAAGTGTTCGATTTAACAACACCAGTTTTTTTTTATAAAGTCAGTTAAACCACAACAGAAACAAATGACAAATGACAGACATTGTTATGATCCATATTCCAAGGGGGAAATGTATAGCAATTTTTACTAAAACCAATTGTAAATCAAACATTTTACCATGTAAACGTTTCTGTATGTGAATATACTGGTTGATATAAAATCCAATTTATATGTAAAACCCTACTTAAATGACACCAATAAGGAATACTGTACAATACCTGTATTTTGATGATGTATATACGTGATTTTATTGACCTTTGGAAAATTGATTGCTGAGATGAATATCAGTTTGTTTTAAAATTTCAATCTATCAACAAATTACCGGAAAAAACCGACTATAATCATTTTATCCAATATTCGAAGATTAAATAAGTTTTTAGCCAATTATTAAAAATGTAACTGTACTTACATCACTTATATTACCATAATCAAACATGTAAAGCACGTCACACTCAGTGCGTTGAAAATCACTTTTCATTGGGTGAATATGCCGCTTTATTCAGAATCCATGTCGTATAGAAAAAGCTAATATATTAATACCAATTTAGAATACCTGTTGTTGCTGTTTAGAATGCTGTTAAATATTGCTTGCCCTTAAAAAAAACTTGTTTCTATTGTTCCGTTGTTTTTCTCTTACAGTTAATGTGTTTTCCTCGGATTTAGTTTGTAACCTGGATTAGTTTTCGCTTAATCAATTTATGACTATTGAACAGCGGTATACTACTGTTGCCTTTATTCATTCCTAAGAAATATCCAGGTTTTACTGTAATGTTTTTTATCAATATTTTTCAGGATTTGTATTAGAATTACAATGTTTGGAATCATTGCGAAATTAACTTCTTAAGTTGCAATCGATTTGATATTATCATATTCTGTTCTAAACAGTTTATATAAAAAAGAAGATGAGACAATGAGACAACTCTCCACAAGAGACCAAATTATGTTTATTTTTAGAAGAAAAATTATCCCACAAGAACCAGAAAAGGACATTTGTTTAATGCATGCAAAATATTTGTTCATCCTTGATATTGATTTAACAGTAATTGCACTGCACTATTTAATGTTGACAAGGCAAATCAGACATTACGGGTTATAAGCTTTTGGATGGTAGATTGAATAGGCTTAAGTATTGTAAGTTCATTAAGATTGTTAATTAAGCTGTTTGTTTAAATAAATGTCACTCGACTATAAACAATTATTAGGGTTATTAAACGTAGTTACGTGATGTGAAATAATTAAGGTAGTCTGCATTTAAATGTAAAAAATGACAGATAACCGTAAACATTTACAATGAGAGGTGAATAACCCTACCATTCATCTGCGAATTACCTTATTTAGCCTCCTAATTTGTACATGAGTTATCCCTCATCATTACGACATTACTTGCGTTTGTAAATACAAGGTTCTTATAATGAAATAGTGTTGATAACTGTGTGATTTGCGGTCTTCTTATAAGATAATCTATCACTTACACTTTTCATTGTATCGTCCGTACATGGCTTACCAATTTGTTCGTTTGTTTGTTAGTCTTTAATCCTACTTGAAGGTACTATTGGAATATCGTGACGGAAGTCTTGTGTACGGTGTAATTTAAAAATTTATAAAATATCATAAAATAGTTTTGTGCATGCTATTCATACCTTAGAACAGTGAATGGTCCGCTTCTGCTGTAACATTCCTGTTTTTCCTTGTTATTTCCACGACCTCTGATAAGATATGAGGAATTATAGCGGCAAAATTTAAATGTCCCATATTGGCTGGTATATGTTTGTCTCTCTCGGACAGAGCATGGAAAGTTGCATAGTGAATCAACTGAAAAAATGCAAAATAGATAAACAAACATTTATCACATATTTGTTACGAACACATTGGGATTTAGAAATATAATAGCCGCTTAATTGCCTAAGTCATATAACCCGGTTGAAAAACTAGGGCCAATATGGACTTTACATACAATCTCAATGGCAGAGCCATTTTAGCCCTTAAGTGTAAAATCCATATCGATCCTCTTTCATTTTGGAGATTCATGTACAATCTTTGAGACTTACTTGTAACCTTGCCGTTTATAAAACTGTTTGAACAGCGAAGCGTTCAAAGAAATGAATTTATCTTTTTTATTGAAGTTACGTCCTTTATTATGTTGTTGCTAGAAACATTACAGATTTATTGATTTCCAGAGACCAGGTGTGGTTACTGGAATTACTTAGGAATTATCGAATTGTTATAAAATGTGACGAAGAGAAAAAAAAAAATAAAAGCAAACAAATGAAATTAAGACTTAGTCTTTATTCTTATTTCCCATTCCTATTTCATAGACTAAACATGTGATAAAAAAATCATTACATGGAAGGGTGCGTATCGTCTGCTCTGAAGCCACCTTAAAACATTCTCCATAATTCCATTAATTAAACTTGATTTTTCCACTATTTTTCTTTCAGTATAATTTTTTATCAAATTATAATCAAGATACAACCAATACCATAACCCACAAAAAAAAACCCAAACAAACAAACAAACAAAAACAAATAAAGGACAACTTAAATTCAACAATGATTTAAACAATATATAAGAATGCTGTAAATAATAATTTAATATAACCTTAGTCTTATGATTCTGTTAACGGTTGACAAAAACGGTGTTGCTCCTAATTTAGCCATTGATTTTAGAATACAGACTATGCTTCAATCGATATTTATTACAATGAATTATAATTGTGATAAAAGTTATTTTGAAGGAGTATATTGATATGTAAATTCGACCGACTCACTCACAAACTGAATAAAGTTCTTATGTCTGTTTTGTTAACGAAAAGTAAAATAATAAAAATATCGATCTCCAAAGGAAAATTCAAAACGGAAAGTCCTTTATCAAATAGCAAAATCAATAGCTCAAACACATCAAACGAATGGAAAACTGACATATTCTTGACTTGGTACAGGCATTTCCTTATGTAGAAAATGATGGATTTAACCTGGTTTTATAGCTAGCTATCCCCTACACTTGTATGACAGTTTTATAAAATTCCATTATATTGACAACAATGTGTGAGCAAAACAAATAGACATAATAGGTGAAAAGGTCAAAAATTGGGGTACAGCAGTCAACATTGTGTTATAACCTTAATCACTATGAAAACAAATAACTTTTTTCAACAAAGATTGAAAAGTTGTGAGTGTAGGTCGTGGTGAACACATCAATTAAGTCGATATGAAATAACCTTTAGTAATTATATTCACAGTAGTCAACACTTCTATGTTTACTTCAATTAACATTCATATGATCATAATCATATATTAACTGTTTTCTAAACTTTGAAATTTTCCAAATACTAATTTTGTATTCCAGGAATAGAATACTTCAGCTATATTTGACAAAACCTTTCATAATTTTGGGACCTCCCTACTCTTAAACTTCGTACTTTATTTGGCCTTGTAAGTTTTTTTTATTCGAGTGTCACTAATGAGTCGTTTGTAGACAAACCGCGCGTCTAGCATACGAAATTGGAAGGCTTTTAAGATTGTTTGTTGTATTTGATTATTGCAATATAGATTATATTACAATATAGTTAGTGAGAAACCTTCTCAGGACAGTTTACAATTCGCAATGCTTGTCTGGCGTCACAATGGCAAATTTAGAGGAACTTAGCACAATTTGACGTCATAATCACCGGAATGGTGTACTATTAAATCGTTGAAAATAATAGAAGATAAACACAAACAGTATGAACAGATTTTGGAATAAAATAGTATTATAGTATTGTCGGCTGTTATTGAATAGATGGTAATAAGAAAATATTATGTACAATGTACTAATGTAAAGAATACGGACTGAAAAAAGAACATGTTTTGCTAAAATTTCACGTATTAAAGACGGAGATGAAGTAAAATGTGCAAAAAATACCAAACTTCATATTGCAGAACAATATGATTATATCTAATGTTTAAGCGAAAAATAAAAAAAAAGTTTCATATTTCATTCTAAAAAGCATCGAGGCTTTAAATTCAGTATGAAAATAAATTGGTATTTCCCCATACATAATTTGATGTCATGTTTATCGTTTTTCTCACAATGATGTTATACCTCCATCAGCCTTGAAATGTCATGGAGGGTCACATATTTGATTTGTACCAATCAAACGAATCAACAATTAATCATCAAAAATTAATCAACCGGCAAGGGAAAGAAGAAATCGGCTAAGAATTAAAGAAATCACATTATCTTACAAAATATATTCTTCGCCTTAAAAAATCTATGCATGACTTTAAATTGCAAAAAAAAATAGATTTTATATATATATGGATTAAAATCATTTCCGTATTTAAGTTTTTTGTCGCATTATTTCAATTTAATAGAAAAAACAAAAGATATAGGTTATCCTTCCATGACACAAAATCATAACATGCACAGCAAAAAAACACAGAAAAAGCAAAAGAATAGCGCTTGTAGTTTTTTCTTTTGTACTTGGAATTTTATGTTTATTTTTTTATGTATTTTTTGTGTAAATATAAATAATACACTTACCTAAAACAAACAGTAAAGGAAATAACAACACAACAAATATTGAAGAAAAACTCATCGTCTTTATGATCATGTTAACAACAACTTGATTAAAACTAAAGGTAAAGCACACAGAACAATAGGGAATGTCTAAATTACTTATGCAACACTGTCACGTACATATGATTATACATTATACGTAATTTAATGTTACCTGCTAAATACATTGACAAATTATACAAAAACAAATAATAAAGTTCAGTGTAATGATGAGAAGGTCACTAAACCACACCACATACTATAAAACAATTTGGACATTGATAGCTGAATATGTCAATGTATGATACGGTTAATTCTTCTTTGTAAGATCTTAAAAACGGTGTTTGTCACCAGCTTAAACACGTACTAACATTAATGTATTGTGGTTATTTCATAATACGAAGGAAAAAAGATAGAAGATCTGTTTGACAATACAACCTTATATGTATAAATAAAAACCCCTTTAAGGTAACCTTAAATGATTATGTAAATAGTTTAAATATCCGGGTATTTGATGAATGTGAAATTAATGCAGAACTATTGGTTGAATTGTTTTAGTCAATCCCTTTTGAAGAACTAGAGATTAATTGTATGTGCATAACTCTCTGTAAATCGCTTACGTCTGCACTTGAATACATAGATATATTTTGTTCATGCATATACAAAGTTAAGCTTTTTAAGTTATAGCACTAGATTTACTAAGCCTTTGCCTCAGGTTTGGTCAAATCAGTGTAATAATGTTACGCTATGTATAAACACACCTATTGCCTTAAATAAATCAGCTTTGATTAGTTCGAATTATGTATGACGTTTAAAGTTCATAATGATATAATGATCCTCGCAAATATATTCGAACAATTGCTACACACTATACATGTTATAATAGAATAATTATGTTAAACAATGATGTAAAATATTACAAATGATGTATTGTATATGATATAATAAATCAAGTAACTGTAAAATGGCAAGCAAGGTGATCATCGTGATAATAAAATCATCTCTATCAATCAAAACATTAACTGACATAAAATGTCCCAGGTTAGGGAGGGGGGATGAAGCGCGAACAAACTTGTTTGACCTGAAACATTCTTCATGTGTCTGTTTAAAGTCAGGACCCAGCATTTCAGTGGTTTTTATTGGTTGCTGTCTGTCTGTCTGTCTTATTATTTTCGTTTGATGTTTATCATAAATCAGTCGGTTAGTATTCTCATTTTAATCGTTCCACATTTTGTCGTATCGAAAATTGTATAGCTGACTATTTGGTATTGGTTTTGCTAATTGTTGTGGGGACCTATTACAGCTGTTTATGTCCCCATCATTTAAACTCTCGTAGATAATTGTCTCATCGTCAAGCATATCAAACCACCTTAATGTATATAAGATATTGTTTTTTTATATATGTTTTGCTTTAAAATAGATATGTTACATGACTATACAGGATATGTGTGCATTAACATGTGTAGAAAAAATAGACTTTAGTCTGTCAATGTTTGTAAAAATATGGTTTTAAATATAATAAGTGAATAATTGTTCAACAAAAAGCCAAGCATATTCGTCCAGCCTTTTTTTATGGCGATACTTCTAGCATATTCTAAGTTGATTGATAAACGCATTGTCCATTGAAGAACTTTCTATTCTAGACAAAAGCATATACTAAATTGACTAGACCAAGTCTAACAATCTGTGATTAGTAAATTTAAGAAGATGTAGTATGATTACCAATGAGAACTATCCACAAGTAGAGATCAAAGAATAAGGATTTAAGCAATTTGAAGTACCTGTACGGCCTTCAAAAATGGTACATATACCATATAAGCTGTAAAAGGCCCCGACATTACAACGTGTGAAACAATTAAGAAAAGAAAAGCAGTTTTATGAAAACCAACATTATTCTGAATTTGAAGAAAGCAACAATGTCAACCAATAAAGCAAAGCTCGCATTTCTAAATATGTGTTTGCCTATTATTTAAGACCATACGGTGGCCTGTGATTGATAACAGTCTTTTGGACTCCAATGGATAGTTATGTCATTCGCAATCGTACCACATTTCCTTATTTTCTAATGATCGTTTCATACTTAGCGTAGTTTCAAAACAAGAGTAACATGCCAGGAGCAGTAATTGTAGTGTAGACTCTGGACAGACATATGCTACAACAGACAAGACAAAGCTTGAGTGTAAAGTAAGCAGTCATGAAATCTAGGCGAGAAGAATCCTTGTATATGTATGTGTATATTTTAATCCATGTATATATATATATTCTGTCTAGAGTTATGACCATCCATTTACACAATCGACAAACTAGCTTGAGCACGTGGCAGGATCAATACTTGTTAGTCTAAAAGAAAGGCGAAAGATATCAAAGGGACATTAAAACTCATAAGTCAGACATTAACTGACACATAAAAAAGACAAAAAGACAAACAATAGTATACAAAACACAGCATAGAAAATAAAAGACTGAGCAACACAAACTCCGCAAAATCCGGGGGTGATCTCAGGTGCTCCAGAAGGATTAGCATACGTCGTGTTGCGCTTGTAAGTACAAAAACCTGGTCATAAGTCTAATTAGAAAGATCACATTCGGAGAAAGCAGGACGGGATTGTGGTAACGACGATAGGAACATATCGTTCGTCATCGGTGAAACAGATATTTCATAACGATCAACTAACTCGTGATGGCGTCCGTAAAATATTCGAAGGGATAATTTCATCTTCAGTCTTTAGTTTTCTATGTTGCAGTTTTCGGCAAAACCTTCTGGAAATTTGTGTCATAAATGCTTTTCAAATTCGTTCTTTATTTGACCTTTGTAGCTTAATTTATTTGAGCGTCACTGATGAATAATTTGTACACGGAACGACCGTCTGGCGTACACAACAGCTATGATGGGTGGGGTAGTTCACCACTTTGAACTTTTGGTTTAATAGCTTCCATGTGAGCAGCATACATCTATGATACTAAAAAAAAGGGGTTGTTGTTGTTAACGACCTTGCCTACCTAAGAGGGCATCGCATGGTCAGTAACCCTCTTTCAAGAAAATCATAATAGAAAACTCAAGCCCTGGAATATCGTACTATATGAGATATATACTCCATGAGCAGGCGTTGCTGGAATGTTGCTACATAGAAATGGAAAGTCAACAATTAAGAAGCTGTAATCACCTTTTTTGTCTGTAGTGTTTTCTCAACAGAACCTAATTTGTCAATTTCTAGATATAATAGAAAGCAAAGGATATGGGGTATCCATCCATGACACAAAATGAGTATATGCACAGCAAAAAACACACAAAAAAGCAAAGGAACAGCGCTTTTATTGGTATTCTCCATCTCAAAGTCACAATGAGGCCTTCAACACGGAGCAAAAAGCTCTCACTTAACTGCAAGTTTAAGATGGCCCCTAGTCAGATATGAGGCAGACTTAACTGTATCTGTTGTATCCTTTATTTCAAGTTCGATGAGATTGATGCGTTGAATGAAACTGATTAATCGATTTATAAGATTTTGACATCAGTTATCAATTGGTGCATTTATTTACACATGTATTTTAATCATTATTTTTTTTATTTACTTTATTTTATTTATTTTATTTATTTACTATATTTTATTTACTTTGTTTATTTATCTGATTTTATTTATTTTATTCATTTTATTTGTTTTATTTACTTTATTGTTTTATTTATTTATTTTTTTTTTCATTAATTTTATTTACTTTATCTAATTTATTTGTTTTATTTATATTCTTTTTATTTAGTTTATTTTACTTGATTGGTAATATTTTATTCGGTTTTTTTTCAAATACATTGTATCTATTCTATTTTTTTGTTTCATTTTAAGATTTAATATTTATCAATTCAATGAATTATAGTATTACTAAATTGCATTATTTATTCTTTTTGTTTCTTATTTGTTTATATTCTCTTTTTGGTATTATATATTTATTTATTAACTTATTCATTTATTTATTTATTTGTTTTCTCATTTATCTATGCAGGTGTGTGTTTGTTTATTTAGGTTTTGTTCGTTTAAACAAAATATTACTCTCATCGTGATTAAAACAGGTAATTTGTTTATTTTTGACGTTTACACGAGAATTAGTATACACATGAACATATTATGATGACAAATTAATCATATACTTTAAGAAATAACAGAACTAAGACTCACCAAAGAATTTAATATTTAAATATGCTTTAAATGAAGATTCCGGGTACATGCCACTCAACCGCATAAACTAGTAAAAGAACTGTTTTAAAACATCACAAGAGAGCTGCTTTAGTTTATCCTTCCAAGTTGGAAGTTCAGGAAGTTGTTAAACCAAACTTAACCTAGAAGTTTCTTCGAAAAATACCTGTACCAAGTCAGGAACAAGACAGTTGTTTTCTAGTCTTTCAGATGTGTAATGTGACCTTCTGAATAAGACTTATCACCGGGTTTGTACTTGCATGAGCAACACAATGGGTGCCACATGTGGAGCGGGATATGCTTACCCTTCCGGAGCACCAGAGATGACCCCCGGTTTTTGGTGGGGTATAAGTTGCTCAGTCTTCAATTTTCTATGTTGTGTTTTGTGTACTATTGTTTGTCTTTTGGTCTTTTTATTTTTTTGGAATGGTGTCGTCTGTTTATTCTCGACTTATGAATTTGAATGTCCCTTTGATATATTTTGCTTAATTTTTAATATGGTCGTACGTTTTGTTTTTGTCAGATTTTATGAACTTCACCTTTTTGAATTTACCTTGGAGTTTTTTTGTCATTGCATTTTATTTTAGAGCTCTGCTACTAGAGAACCGATTTTGACAGTTGTATCATAGAACAGTTTTAAAGTATTATGCTGAATTACTCTGACTAGATAAAATTGTCATTTAATCACAATCCTTGAGCTGATATAAAAAAAGATCTGATAAGAAATTAACTGCATTGAAATGAAGTTACAATTTCGTATTCAGATCGTTAATGGTGAGCAGATTTAATAAGATAATATTTCCACTTCAATATAGAGTTTAAATGGTCTGATGATGCCTACATTTAGAAAGTAATCGTCATGTGAATCTTGCAGTGTTATGTGTCCACTTTTGATACAAACGAAGATAGCTATATATTTAACATTAAAGT